AGAATGTTTGCACGAATAACTGGAATTCTTTAATAATCAAATTGGGATGCAATTTGGGATGATTGTAGACTAAAGGAACCAGGAGCACTACTCAGGTGACCCTGAGAACACAGATGAACCTCCTAGTGATTCAAGGATCCTCTAAGAGGATGCAAATGACCAACTGTCCGCAAGGAATATAAATCCTTCCATTTCTCACTATCCTGTCAGAGCTGAAAAGACTTCTTGCATGAAAAGCGAAATGTCTTCAAAGAAAAACAAGGAAGCCCAGTTGCCTACTAAAAAAATACCTATAGCAAACAATATCAGGTCAAAGCTATTGACTATTCCACAGAGAAACCAGTGGCAGTGGCAGATATTGTTCAACTTATTTTAAAAATAAAATCTGATAAGGTCCCATCCAGAATAATATAATCATTATAACTCCTTAAAGAAAATCTAAATTGGTGGGACTTGTTTTTAATGACCTGCAAAAGATAGTTCTGGTTTAATACCTTTGAATGGAATAGAATTATAAGAAGGGAGAAACAGAAGACCTTGTCAGTTATAGGCCAATAGTTTGCTATCAGTCCCAGGAAATGTCATGCAACAATGAGAAAGAATTTAAATGAAAAATTAATCTCTTAGCTTGAGAAACATTTTGGTTTAACTAATTGCTACTTTTAGAAAGACAGGTCAACAATCAACCAGTGCCTACCTATATTCTATTTCCCTGAAAGGCAAATTATTTTCTGTTTTTAAGGTAGCTATTTATTATGTTAATAGAACTAAATTCTGAGCTAAATTAACTATAATAAAACTTTTTTTAATTTTTTTTTTTAAAGTACTAGGAAAATTCATAATCATGTGATAACAAAATAGAGAATTTTAATTATTTAAATTTTAATTATTTAATTATTTATGTAATTTTAATTATTAAAACAGTACTTTTGAAAACAAAAATCAACTATGATATCTTGCTTCAATATGTTCATTCAAAAATGGGGAGATTTGTTCCTGCAGCAATACATGATTTTATGCAAAATTACATTTCAAATTTTATATAGAGCTCTGATTTGGATTATACTTCCAATTAACAAAGTAGCCCAAGTGCAGGTAAAATTTCAAAGTTTTCTTTTAAGTGCCCCAAATTCTGTTATGTTCCTGAAAACTGGACAATAGTAATAGCACTTAGATTTATACACCACTTCACAGGGCTTTACAGCCCTCTGTAAGCAGTTTACAGAGTCAGCCAGGACTGGGATTCTACCAGTTCACACCTATTCACTAGAACCAGTTGTTAATATTCTAAGCAGTTCAGAGAACCAGTTGTTAGAAAATTACTGGCCTAATCCTGTAAGGAAGGCAGGAAGGAAACATTCTGGTGTTGCTTACAGAAACTGCCTCTCCGTTAACCCTTATTACATTCTTGGCAGGAGTAGACTAACTTTCTTTGGAACTTCTCTGGAATTCTCCCCACCTTCCTTTGCTGGTACTTTGCTTGTGTGGAGTGACCATTGAAAAAGTGACTTATGACCATTTTTCACACTTATGACTGTTGCAGGATCCCCACAGTCACGAGAGACCAGACGAGGAGATGTGTGCCTTGATGTGAGTGATGTTGAGTTGGCCATGCCCAGCCAGTAACATGACCACCAAGCCATGTCCACCCAGTCACATGACCACCAAGCCACGCCTGCCAACTAAGCCACACCCACAGAACCAGTTGTTTAAAAAGTTGAATCCCACCCCTGGAGTCAGCATATTGCCCCCACCAAATTGGGTCCATGTTTTACCCACCTTGGAAGGATAGAAGGCTGACTCAACCTTGAGCCAGAATCAAACTGCTTGCAGTCAGCAGAATTAGCTTGTAATGCTTCATTCTAATCACTGCACCACCACGTTCTTTCTTTGTTTTAAAAACAAAGGTTGACTAACCATTATTAACTTTTGTTTGCAAATATATATTTTTAAAACCAAGGAATATTTGCTTTAGGAAACCCAAAATGAATATTTTGTTGCTATATGCGATTCAAAGAGATGAAACAAAGATTACTTGATTGGCAATGATTCCTATTATTTATTTTCCCAGGGGTATGACATTAGAATTTCATTGTATTTAAGAAAAAGTATGAGTTAGTTCAGAAACGAATTGATGGTTTTGTGTTTATCTATAACTTTTAGAATTAATTACAGATATACTTTTTATCTCCCTAAAATATCTAAATGATTTATATTTAACTAAAATACAAAATAGCCTTTTCAATAGCCGGTTAAATGTGTTGCTGTTGAATATGCTATAACAAGGTTGTCTAAACTTTTGGTTTGTCTGAGGTGCATTGAGTGAAAAGAAATTGTCTTGGGCTGCATATAAAATATTTAATATAGTTTTGTAATATAAAATCACCTAATAATGTTGAAAGTTTATGATCTCGTGGGGCTGCATTGTGGGGCTGCTGCTTGTGGAAACTGTCCAGGGCCACATGCAACCCTTGGGCCATGGTTTGGAAATCCCTGTGCTGTATGGTAGATTTCAAATCCCCACCTGTCAAAGATTTTGTCCTTCTAATGATATCAATATTGAAATGGTGGATCATATTGTTTTGTTTTGTGAATTTTATAAAAGTCTTTGGCAGCAATTTATTTGGCCTGTTTTAAATCAAAACCAGAAGAAGATACCTTTGAATATCTCTTTGTTAAAATTTTGCTTGTAGATGGAAATCCTAAAATTGCAGAGGTGACACCAGATTTTTAACTATAGCTATTAAAAGTAAGTGTTTTTAGTAACACATCAGTGAGTTGAGATTTTAGGTGTATTATATAATATATATTAAATAATTTACTTCTCTTATTCAATACCAACTTTTAGATTATATGGGTAAATTTTGACTGTGAATCAATTGAAATAATAATTTAAAAAATATTATGGGTTTTGAGCCTATAATTGCAAAGTTTTGAATGTTATTAAAGTAAAATGTGAATAAAAGCCAAAGTAATAGGGAAGTTATCTGGAAAGTAATCTTATATCTAACTATATAGCCAGTACGTATTTTTTTATGAGTTTATTTATTATATTTGTAAGGTTTGCCAACTCCAAATAACTATGTGAGGTGAACAACAATGGAAAAAGAATATGAGAAAATAATAGTCCAAAACAGAACAATCCATAAGTTACTTCATACACATACAACAATCCAAAGGAACTCTGCACTCACCCAAGCCCAAGGCCTAGGAGTAAAGTCAGATCTTTAAGGCTTACTTGAAAGGAAAGCAAAGTAGAAATGGTTCAAATCACTGGGAAATACTATTTTACAGGAGACTGAATTATAATGTTTCTTTAGACATGATAGCCAGTTGGATGAGTATGGGCCAATTGTGCTCTTCATCAAACCCCCTCACAAGGTTATTGTTATGTGGAAACTAGGTGGAAGAAGGAGTATTAGGTATATTTTCTATCTTGAGATTTATAAAAATAATAAAGTTGGAATAAAAATGTAATAAATAAAGTAAAAAAAATATGGTAATATAATCTTGAATTATACCCAGAATATTCAAATATGAGTGACTTACTTAATCTACCAAATATGAATGGACCCATATATCTAGAAAAGTGTAAACTTATATTTTGTACTTTAGGGAGTTTTATCACTAATGTTATTGCTTTAAAAAGTAGTGGTGCTCACATTCACCATAAATTTGCTATTTTAATTTTCAGGGATCTGAAAGCAACTTAATATTTTTGCATGTTTTTCTTAACTGCCTTATCCATTGTTCTATGACTTTCATTGAAGATCCACACCTCCCAATTGTTCTTTCCATTTATTGAAGGGCATGTTGTTCCAACAAAGATTATTTAATTAAGATTATGAAATCATTTTGCCAAGAAGCTAATGGGATTTGGCTATGTGATGACAACACTGTCTGTAAACAAAATGTTCTACATACTAGGTAGAGTAAGAGTAATGGGAGCACATCCATTTTCACACATAGCCAGAGCAGTTGTTCTTTTCAGAAGCATTGCACAGATATTTTAATGCATCTCCAGTTATCCACATTTATGTGATTATTAGTTGGAGAGGAAAGTTAATAGAGATACTCTTGAGATGTGCATTCCTAATACTATCTAGTACTTATTTTCATTCATGATATTCTTTGAATTATTCTCACATAATCCAAATTCCAAAGATTTTTTCCCAAGGTTTTTTTAACTATATCATCTAACTAACAATAATAAACATTTCACAAGTGCCCTTTGCTTCTAATCTTATAATATCAAACTGCTGATAGAACATTTGCAATTCATCCAGCAAAATTTATCTATTAATGTTAAGTGTTTATTTAATATCCTAATTAAGAGTTTCTGGTTATCTATCAGGAAATTACGCTTATTATCTAGCCATCTCAATTAGGGATATAAAGCAAATTTAGTCTAATAGTTTTCTGTTTCCAAATATAATAAAGCATATTTAGTTAGAGAGGGAGGATTAACTGGAATTCAGGTATTTTATCATTTTTAATAATCTTATAGCAAAAAGAAAAATCTATCAAGCAGCTATAATTTCCTCATCATTAAAATCAAAGTAAACTCATGGGTTTAAGATGCCTGAATATTTTTGTCTGGGGAATAAAATATGTCAAGATTTTAAAAAATCCAGTATTTCTTTTACAATCTAAAACTACATTTTTCTCGGCACCATAAGTATCGGCCATAGTGAATGAAATTTCCAGGAATCATAGATCAACTCTTTTATAGAAGAGACGAGTCTGCAGGACTGGATCAAAGAATGTCTATAGAGTAATAAATAAAGTAGAAAATCTAATTCAATTTTTCTTCCAAATTTGGAGATACCAAAAATTGGGACCTTTTCTTTGTTTCTGTAAATTGAAGTTACAAAACTATTTTCAAATACATGTTTTGTGTATGGAAAATTGTTAGTTGGGGTTAATCTGTGTATATATTCTTCTTCTCCTCTCTCTTTCTCTCTTTTTTTACTTTTCTTTAATCTTCCACCAATATTCAGAATCTTTGGCCATCTCAATCTCCGTTCTGAATGGCAACTAGTAAAAGTGGATTATAAATCTATCTTTAGCAGAAGATGTACCAAGGATGATTTCCAGTCATGGCATTTACACAACCAGGTAGGAATACATCAACTAGTGTGTGTTTCTGTATCCCAGATGACCTACTATTCCTAGTTGTGAGTGTTGTTATAAATTAATGAATGTAAATCACAGGGTTTAGTTAGATTGAAAGATGAGAAGCAATGCAAATCTGAATAAGATACTATAAAAGTAACTATGGCCACTCACAGACAAATAATTGCTTTAGTTATCTATCTGGGCTGAATGGTCAGAATAACAAAGTTATGAGTGACATAATTTCAGAAGTACCACATAAATGAAATGGAAGTACAGGGAAGAAGGAAAATAATGTATCAGGGGGTTGTTTTCTGCATTTGGCTTATAGTCAAACTGTAGACAAAGGAAGAACTCATCTTGTGGAAGGAAGGAATGAGACATTAAGGGGAGACTTGCCAAAAATATTACCCAGACTTAGAAAAAGGGAACTATTGTTTCTCATTGTGGGCTAACAAGAAGGATTGACAATAGGGAAAATTTCATCAGAAAATAAACAGAATCTATCCTTACATTTCATTATACTTTCAGTTCCCACATAATTGTACTTGGTTCTTATTATTATAATAATGATGGTGTGAGGACTCAATTTTCATAAGAAGTTCTAGTATAGAAAGTTGAGTATCTGTGCACCTTGTATAATTAACCTGTACAGAGGAGTACATGTTATTCCAAAGCAGTATTCTTCTGCATTGAAGGGTGAACCTTGTGTCATGGGAGAAAGGAAGATCTATAAGAAACGTAAATCAGGGGCATGGTGCGCCTTATCTAGAGATTACTCAAGAACAGTGGTTTCAGAACCATGCATCTGTGCTGAGTGGGACTTTGAATGGTAAGTTTTATCAATTAAACATATTTGTAAGCCACCACAATCCAAAGACAGTCTCAGCAGTTTAAATTAGAATTAGAAGAACTTTATTGTCATTGTACAATTACAATGAAACTGTGGATGCACCCCAGCAACTGTTTCCAATACAATAAAACCAAAGCACTTTAAAATGAAGATAAGAAAAATAGAAGAAAAAAAAATGAAGACAAACTAAAATAAAATATCCATGGTAGGAATAACATAATTATGAATTTATTTAAAATGTGTAGCAATAAATGTAAATAAGTTAAATAAAATTAAACATTGTAATACTCATATCAGAAGGAAACTTTCTGAAACAATTCAATTTTAAAAGCATCTAAACAACCAAGAAAGACAGAACCAGTCTGATCTCCACAAGTGGGCTATTTATCGATGTTCACTCTGTCACGGAGAAGCACACCATCTTACCTCAGACCCTCATCAAACAGTAGGATTACAGCAGTTTCTTCATTAGAGATCAAATTAGTTGGACCAATTTTTGATGGACTAGATCACCCTGAGGTATCCAGGCACCAAGCCATAAAACCATTATAGGTCAACACCAGCACATTTAAAAATTCACATCCAATGCAGGGTCTGCGAATTGGAAAATTATCCTTTCAGTGCTGGAAGCCCCAAAGGATATGAACTACTGCATTTTGGAATTAATTGTACTTCCTAAATATTCTTTAAGGGCAGTCCCAAATAAAGCATATTACAGTAGTCTTACTAGACAGTAATTAAGACATGAGTCACCTTAGCCAGCTTCTATATTATAAACTTTTCTTGGAATCCTTTTTTTTTCATGCTTGACATCAAACTACACTTACATTGCTCAGCCTGATTCTTCTTAGCACAAAAATACTATGCAGCAAGAGTGTAGATAACTCTGTTCCAATTGAGTTTTGAACTGTGATTTATTCTCCCTCAGATTGGGTTTTGATTGTATCAGGAGGTTGTCCATTACTACTTGTTTCTTTTTTCATAGAAATGCTTGCACAGACTTTTTCCCAGTCTGAATACCTTCTACCATTAATTGGCAAAATAAGTTACATTTTATACTCAAAAAGAAATCTTAATTACTCCCTTCTGCCTCTCCAAAGTCTACAAAGTAGTATCTTCTCAAAATTCACTTCTCTCTTGAGGAATGAGTTGGAGGAGAAAAATAACTTCTAAATGATCGTACAATTACACAACATCAGAAAATAATCCAGATTTTATTTTCAAGCTTCACAGAAAAATGAATCATGAAATCTTTGTACATTTCTTGCTTGAAGTTTTCATTTTCCCTTTAGTACTTTATTTACCCTTGTCCGGGAAGCTTCTTCCAATAAGTTGAAGCAGCAGCTGGACTCAGTAATTTTTAACATACAAACCCCAGGGCTTTCAAGTGCGAAGGTGGGCAGTATGTGAGTTTTTAATATACATTTACCAGAAGTTAATGAACAAGTCTGCAGCCTTCAGGCCCTTCAGTTATGTTGTCGTTAATATTATTTAATATTAATGCAGCTCTTTCATTCTTTGAGGCAACATGTGACTGCCCCTCATGAACAATTTTAATTACTAAGTTACTACAAGGCATACTTAAAATGTGCAAGGGTGACCTACTGAGAATGAATAAATTTGAATGTCAGAAAAACCAAAGCATTAAAAGCAGTTTAGAAATTTAACAATTAATTTAACTACAATGTCTACCATGGTTCACATACCTGTGTGAGATAATCCATGATCCTTTGTTATTTTCTTACCATCCGTGGAAGGCTGTTATGAAAAAACTGCTCTGATTTAAGCCTTCGTTAAATACTTTGCATAATTAGATAGTGCATCGATATTGTTCTATTTAATGAAGTAGTTATGGATTATACCTTTACAGAATAGCTCCAATGACTATTTCACTGAATATTTTTAGATAGATATATATTCATTTATTTAGGTCTCAGTGTTCACTGTTGTAAAATTACAACATAATAATCACCATTGTACCAACTACCAGTAAATGGCAAAAAGCACAAACAGAAAAAAATTACAACTTCAATCCAAAAATAACCAGAAAATGGATTTTAAAATGCCAGTTATTTGGGTGATTTAAAAGATATACTTCATATAAATTTCAGACAGACTTTTTACATCGATACAGCAGATTCTTTGAATATGAGAACTTGAAAAGTGGCAAATTAGTTCATAGACCCAATTACTTTTCTGTCTCCCCCCCCCCCTCCCTTCTTCTCTCTCTCTTGGGGGCGGGGAAGAAATAGAAAGCAAATTTACTTAATATTAGTGCTTTGCTGAAAATAATTGTATTTTTGCTATCATTTCTCATTAAATTTGATGTAAGAAAAATTGCCTTCAAAATTCCTTCAAATTTTTTTGGGCAGCGTATGATGCTGTTATAGCCATTTGAGTATCTATTGCTACATTTATAGTGTCTTTTCTCTGAGAACTTTTTCTCTGAGAACTCAGTATTCTTACTTGGGGTTCTCTCAATTGTCTCTCTCCATAAAAATAACCCAATGAATCCAGCATACCAAGATGTTATCAGGCATGTGTGAGGCAGCTCAGATTCAGTATGACAAAGAGCTTTCCACTCATAGCCATCTTATAGCCTCCTCCACTACTTGCAAAAGCTGGATTAAGGTTCTAGGTATCTGCAATACCTGTGCAGATGTGCCAAGATCTTCAAGTGCAGGAACAAGCTTCAAAAGAGCTAGCTGAACAGCATCCAGCTGTTGATTTGTTTACTATAAATGAGGCCTCACATTGCTTGGGAAAGTGCCTGTGCCATGTTTGTTCACCCAGTTCTTCATGAATTGTGTTGAAGATCTGCTTAGTCTTCAAAGTAACAAAATATTGCAAACAGTCTGTCTTTTTTTTTTTTTTTTTTGAAGGAAATGTCATTCTATCCTACTCTGGCTGCAATTCTTGAAGCATCAGATTTTAGTTTAAATGTTATGAGTATTATGAATGATTCTAGTTAGAAATATTAGGCAGCAGTTAATGGTTAGAACTGGGCTTCCTCTTAAAATATTGCTATTCTAACTCTCTCCCTTAACAGAAGTAGAATTTTTGGTAGGATGGAACAAAATCCATATACACATGCAAATGAGGAAATATGTAAATGAGACATATTATGTGTTTATTCTTGCATTAGATATAGACCCAGAAGCCTTGATGATAAGCTCTGTTGAACTAACAAACTCATGCAATAGCCTTTGGCAAGTTTTTTCTTAATTCCACTTCACAAAGTTCTTGTGAGAACAACAATCTTTATGTATTTCTCTTTTCTCTGTGGTAGGAAGATGAGATAAATATATATGTATTTTTAAAATTATTCTATTAGTGACTATGGTTATGAAAGACACAGTAATAATCAATGCATCCCAGCATTCTGGTTCAACCCATCCTCTCGGATGAAAGAATGCAGTCTTGGCCAGAGCTACTTGAACAGCACTGGGTAAGTAGAAACATCCTTTGATATATGTCTCTTTTGCAGAGTTTACAGCTTGTATTTAGTCTATCTTTTGCAGAAATCCTGCAAAAAGAAAAAAAGAAAAAAGGATGAGCATTAAAATAGATGTATTCACTTTCTAGTGGGCTGAATCTTGCCTTTAATTGGAAGATGCTGGTCAAAAGAAAGATGAGGGCAAAATAAAGAGCAAGACCAAGACATAGACTAAATTTGTTTTACTTTAGATTACATTTCAATTTAATTTTAGTTATTACATTATTAACATGATTTATCCCATGTAATTAATATTCCTCCATTTTATCACATTAAAATTACAATTCAAGACTTTTATAGAGCTATTGGTACCTGCATCTTAATTTCCTGGGGACTACATGAAACCTCAGGGCATGGAAATTGCACAATTTTGACATAAATGATGCTAGAGAAAGTAAAGCTACATTAAATACTCTCCAGATGGAAGTTAATGGCACAAGACAACAGAGTAATGCAAGCAAAAATAAGAAAGATCTGTTTAGAAACTATTTTTAATGTCTGTTTATTTTAAGATCACGTAACATTAATATGTGATGTAATTTTTTTTAATTTAGAATTGTTTCAAAACCATTCCATTCTTTATAAAAAGGACATATGCCAACTTTCAGCTTCGTCTGCGTTCTGTTCAGAGGGCATAGAGGAGCAGGTTCATACTGTGGCTTCACTGTTGTGCTATTTCAGCTTTGTGCTAAAATTTCCAGTGTGCCATAAATCTTAAACACTTACTGCTTTACTGAATGCTTTACTGCAAATGAGCAGACCTGCGTTGTTGCCCAATACTGATAGACCACTTATTAAATTTGCTGGCTGCTGATGGCTTTCACCATTCCAGAGAGGATGTAAAATGTTGACATCTATTATTCATATAGTGAGTAGATATGAGCTTGTAGCAAGAACCTATTTCACATAGTTAGAATAGGGCCGTAAATGGAACACAAAAGGAATCCCCATGTTATGAAACCCCCTTTCCCTAATTTGTCTGCCTTCTAGAAATCCAGAGCCATCCACACAGAGCTTCTGTGTTCAGCTTTTTAGGGAGATATAAGCAGAAAGATGGTACAGAGAGAAAATCAGGAACCAGACTGTAGGCATATATCTGCATCAAATAGCCAATAAATGCCTTTATGATGCCATTCATCACTTGATTTTGCTTCTAGCATTATGACTGTTGAAGCATATCATTGGATACTGTTGGCTGAAAGGGAAATACTCTTTTAATACCAGTTAACCTAAGAAACAGTTAAATCTGTTTTACTATGATTAGGGTCAAGTTAAGGGCAACCTCATGGAGATGCAAAATAAAATAGATGCACATTTGTGCCAGATTTAATTCAAATGGAATTTTTTTTTTTAAGGATAAAGGAATCCCTGTGGATTTTACTCTGCTACTTGTTGCTGGCTATAGGGGATGGTGCATGCCTTCATTTCAAAGTCATTGAGCCAGGGCTGTCTGAAGACATTTCTAAGTCAAGTGGCCAACATGTTGTCATGGAATGCTGATTTAGTTCAAATGGAAATACACTGGTGGAAGGGAAAAGTACAACTTTTATTAGAACTTAGTGAAATAAAAGCTCATCTGTCTCCTATTTTTTTTCTTTTATTTTTTTAAAGTACAATAATGTAAAATAACACATCAGTAAAGATGTGGTAAGATGACATCATAACAAGGGAATAACAAACATGAAAATAGGTAAACATCCAATGAACAGCTTAATGAATTTTGAATAGCACCTGAAGTTATTTTTCAGATGTTTGATATGGGTGTTTGATATATTGCAAACAATATAGGCTTCCTTTCCATTTTTTTCAACTGGATACATAAACTATGAAATTTGAGTTTTGTGAAATTTTAAAACATGAAATTATAAAATTCCACAGGTATCGGAGGATTGTTTCTAATAACTGCACAGATGGTTTGCAAGAAAAGTATGCAGCCAAGCCTGAACAGTGTCCAAGCAAAGCTCCCCATGGGTTACATATTCTCACATCCACTGGCAAGTTAGTTACAGAACAAGGCTACAACACTACCTTTATAATTCTTATGGAAGAGGTAAGCTAATGCCCAATATTAATAATGGCATTTCCAGTAGAATAATTGTTCTAGTGCAAGGACTCTTCTGTTTTTTTAAAACATTTTTAATCACCACAAAGATCAAACCAAACTATAAGAATACAACTTTTAATGGACACCCCTTTTCTGTGTTTGTCAATGTGTAGATGTTTATTGGTAACACAATTGAAGTGGGTGGGTAGGTATACTATATATAGAAAAGAAGGCAGCAAAATACAACCCAGAAATTGGAATGGTTATACAAATCAAATGAGCCTTTTGCAATAGAACTGCTGGTTTGAAAGTTCAAAATATAACTCTAATTTAAATTAAGAGAATGTCATTAGTAGATCTTCTATCAATGCAATGTTTCTTCTTGTATCCATCTTCATTGCAGGACTTTGTATGGATGTGTCTATGTAGTAATTCAGAAAAGAACCGATGCAAAATACAAATTACAAATCCAGTGGTTGTTTATTAAAGATCCTGAACAGACCTTCACACATAATGAACAAAACACAGAAAGGCAATAACACTGCAGATGAGGCAAAAAAGAAATGAACAAGGATGGATAGAAAGCTGAGGCATGGGATTGTGTCTGAGGAAATTCTGCAGAGTAAAAGAGACAGGAATATGGCTTTAATTGCTTTCAGTGCTCTTTGCTGGGATATGCATACCATGAATGGCTTTAAGATTGGTTAGTCATTTCCCCCCATCTTAGAGCATCTTCTACAGTCATATTATGCTGAATTTACAATAGTGATGATATAATTTATTTTGTATTAATGATAGCTGATGGGTGGAGCTACATCACCATGGAGGAAATGGCCTCATTTTCTCAAAGTCGATGTCTTCTATCAAATCAGTATTTGCTTCCCTGTGTGCTGCACTGATTATTGCACTGTGCTGCTTGTTCATTTGCTTGTTTTATTTTAAAAAGGGTTTTGTTTGTGTTTATTTTCTTGTAAAACTGAACTCAACTATTAGAAGTTTGAGGTTGATTCCTGCCTCACTGATCTTGTCAACTGTCTGCTTTAATTTTAGAAACAAACTACTCAGTAAAAAGAGTGCTTCTGTGTGGTTTGTAAGGCTAAGAAAATGGCAATTGGGATTAGGAATTTGGCTCATGGGAAGTCTGGATTGACACATCTATTATGCCTACCTCATAGACATTCATTGCTATTTGCTCCAGCAGCAAACCTGCTATTATTTGCTAGAGTGATATCCCCTGTGGGTATCTCCCCATTCCATCAAGTCAGATAAGGAGACATGTTCCAGCTTCCTCCTCTCAAATTTTATCATCTAGTAGGATCTAGGACTGTGATGGCGAACCTATGGCATGCATGCCAGAAGTGGCACACAGAGTCATCTCTGCTGGCATGCAAGCCATTGCCCCAGATCAGGTCCACTGCACATGCGTGCATACCTCCCTCCAGCCAGCTGATTGTGGGGTATCTGCTATGCAAGTTAGGGGCACGGTGTGTGTGCGGGAGATGCATGTGCAGAGGTGCATGGTGCTCACGGGGGTGTTGTACACACATGTGCAGGGGTGGGGGGGTTGCATCCACATTGCATTATGGGTGCAGGCACATGCGCGCAAGCACACTTTCAGCACGCAATGGCGAAAAGGTTAGCCATCACTGATCTAGGAAGTGTGCCTTTTTTAAAACAGCCTCAGCCTCAGGAGCACCTTTGTTCCTGGGATTCTGTAAGCCTCCACCTTTTTAGTCTTCCAGAAAGCCACAAAGAGCTGGTTTTTCTCCCCAAGTAGGGAATAGAATCTGGGGACTGTATTGTTGGTTGTATGCGTAGTCCTCAAATTTTGACAACAATTGGAAACAACATTGCCATTGCTAATCAGCACAGTACTAAAATGTAATATCACATAACTTGTCTACTTACTTGTAAGCACCTCAAATAACCATGACATTCAACTTCCAGCTGGCTTCCCGATTGGCTGTGGGAAGCCAGCAGAGAATATCATAGAAGTCATGGTCATGTGATTGCAGGAGGCTAGGATGTAATGCGAGCCTGGTGCCAAGCACTTCAATAGTGATTATGTGATTATAGGGAAGCTTCTACAACTGGAACTCTGACAACCTGTCATAATTCCTTTTGTTCAGTGTCTTTATAAGTTTGAATGGCTGTTGAATGATTGGATATAAGCCAAGGACTATTGATATTGAAGAATATTTGTTGAGGCACCAGGTTTAGTTTTACTATTATTATCATTATTGTGAGCTTCCCAGAGTTCTGCTACATAAAATGGACAGACATAGAAGTCAAATCAATGAGACAATCAATGAGCAAGCAAGCTAGCAAGTAAGCCCTAATGGTAGAACCTTCTCATACCAAATAATATGATTAATACATTCAAGCTGATGCAAACCTTGCTTTTAGTATAATAATTCTTAGTATCTGTTAGAATATTATCTATCTAACTTTTAGAAATATCACTTTTTACATTCATGTGCATGACCTTAGGTTTGTGCAGGAAACATCCTTTGATAAATAATTTTGAAAACGCCACACAAATTGATATGCCATCTTGTCTTGTTAAGCACCAGAAACAAGCATGAGTCAAAAGTTGTGGCACATTAGCTACTGTAATTGTGTCTTTGTTGGGTGTGTGTGGAAGTTATAGGTAAAGGTTGAATATTAGCATGGAAGTGGGGAGAAGCAAATTAACCATTCAGATGCACATAATAAGCTCCCATACCTTTCAGCATTGTGTCTGTAAATAAAACACCTATGAAATTATACCAGGTTTGTAAGTTTGTAACTCTTGAAGCCTAGCTCTGAAAATAAGTATATATTGACTAATCTCATAAATGTCTAAATGGAAAATTACGGTAGTTTTTATAATACGTAGCCATTTCTCTTTAATATATAGAAATAATAACTTTTATATTCATATGGGTAAGTCATTATTTTTATGTTTTATGAATTGCTTATTAAAGCTGTGTAGGTACATGGGGGAAAGGCTTGTGAATTATTAAAGGCTTGGCTCCTATATTGAATGTGTACATCATTGGGTTTGCACTTATAGGAAGGACAAAGGGCTGCTATCTTTTTGATTTTCCAAGGTGCCTTAAAAGTAACAGAGCTTTCTCATATACTAGCTATCTGGTTTCAACTATATTCAGTTTCCAGACTTTTTGGCATACATTATCACATTCCAAATTGATATTTTATATGACCTACACCATCTAAAATAGGGGTCTGTAGAATATATCCAGAGAATTGTGATAGTTATCCATTTGAAATGTTTCCACTTTATTTCCATTGCAATTTATATTCATAAACCTGGGATAGCTGACATAGTATGTGTGGTGAATGATACACGTTTTACTATTTTATATACTGGAAACATAGTTAAAGGAAAGGGATTAGAAGATCACTGCAGTGCGGAAAAAGCTAGTAAAAAGATGAAATAAGTTCTGTCACTATTTAGATAGGAGGACAAAATTCTTTTGTGTTTAAGCACAAAATTGCCACAGAAAAAAAATGGTAGGGTGACTAGAACATTCTAAATTTTAAACTAGCATTCTATATTCACAATGATCTGCCTGGATATTACTTAAAAAATAATCTGTTGGCAAGAACATAATTCTTGACTTGCTGATCTTTTGATTGAGGCATTTCAGTTAATTTCTAGGATATTTGTTTAAAACTTCTGGTTTAAAAAGATAATCAAAGAGTGGGAAACTCCTTTAGGACCCTTTGATCTTTCTCAGTTTTCTTTGGTCTGAATTTTCTGTGTTTTGAAGACTGTATTTCATTGAAGGAAACACTGTCACTCAGTGTACAGTCCTGGGATGAAAAAATAGTGGTTAGTTTCTATTATGCCCATGAGGAAATCACCCTTGCCTGTTATTATACAGCAATGATAAGGTATCTTAGACTTATACTTTTCCAGAACTCTGATAATTCTTCAAGCCATGACAGTAAATCTTATCTCTACCCTTGTGGGCTTGGGGTTGTTGAATTTATATTTCTGCAACCTTTGGAAGACCCCCACATTCAGTGTTCCTAGATTAGATAAAAGGAAAAATGCTTATGTTGTTCTTGTCATTTCTTCTTTTGGCCAGCAGTTAGCCTCCTACTGTGCGAGCACATAATCTAAGCTACAACAATTCCAATCTTGAATTCCAGTCTTCTCAACTGTCCAGCATATAATACTTCTGTCTTCTTGATAGCTTCATTTCTTTTCCTGAAGATGTAGACAATTTAGGAAACTTGGAAAGAAGTTTAAAAGCACAATTCACCTTTTTAACAGGCCACCACCACCTACTAAATGCAAGGGCAAAAGTAGTGGTGGAATGTTGCTGGTGTAACAACTGGTCGCTAATCGCGCACTTTGTGCACGTGCACAACTTTCAAAACCACTTCCCTTCAATGTTACTCCAGGGAAGTAACACAGCTGAGGTGTAGCAATCCACTCTGCCATGTGAATCAGTTGAGCAGATATAGATGAATTCAGTGCAGGGGCGGGATTGCGAGCCCACATGATTGTCGGAGTGAACCGGTTTGGAGCCAGCTGATAATCGGAGCTAGGGGTTCACCTAAACCAGTCCGAACTGGCAGAATCCCTCCCCTGGGTAAAAATCATAAAATAAATGGCTAAGTTGTGTAAGGTCTAAATGCCTTTAAGAGAGCAGCCCCTTTGGTGCTACTGTACATAGTACTTTACTGCATTTACCAAATGACAATAGATTTATTATACAGAGACCAAAATGTCACTTATGCATCACTGCTTCTCTCAAAAGACAAAAAAGCCAGAGATCTGCATAATGTCCATGTGCTAAATTAAACATTTCATGCACATTTAAAAATAATTACTATCCATTTAAAACACACATACACAAATTTATCAATAAAGGGGAAGAGTAGCAGAATTTTGCATCTGTTCAACTTGCTGTTGTTGGATAATTTCAAAGTTCCATCTCTTTCCTAGTTCTTTATCCTAAAATCAGGCTTAGACTGGGCTTCAAACAGCAGCTGCAAGTAGGGGATTGTCCTTATTAAATAATAGCAGAACACTAGGTTAATCAGTCCTGACACCGGTAGAATATTTGAGAAGCAGTTTGCTCCAACACATCTCTTCCATTAGAGAATAAATTGTCTTGTTACTTTCTCTTATTTTTTTTCATCACTGTTATATATTTAGACCTAATAAATTCAATTATTTAAAACCAATCTCTATATTAATGACAAACCAAAGAGCTTTTTTCTGCTTGCCAGAGATTAGACTTTGATAGAAAAACCAAGATGATTACCAGATACGAGCAGAGGTATGGCAAAAGTTAACTCTTTTGCTGTATATGGAAGTCATGTTAATTTTTGCAATTCAAATATGGTAGTCAATACAATTGCCTAAACTTGATTAAAGAAACAAATTTGAACTAGCAATTCTTTCTCTCAGCCTTGTTTTATATACCTTGAGATTTGAAATTATGAAACTGGGATGTTGCAACTAGTCTTTGCCTTTGAGCCCTGCTGCTCATCTCTATCCTCATATTTTTCCTTTTGATTGGCTGACAACCAAGACACTATTTTCTCATTATTGCCTACATCCATATTTCTGGCTGGAGTTTTTGTTATTGTTTTGGTACTCACATATTTGGAAAAAAAAAATGGATTATTTTAGGGATGAAGCACTCATTAGTGTCAAATATCAGGGTAGCAGGATAGTTAAAAAATTTATGAAGCAAATCCTTCTATCAATTTCCAGAACTTGTGTATTCTGCTATAGAAAGTGAATAGTATCTTTGTCTTTGCACTCTAGAAATTGATGACAAAATGAAGTATGGGTATAGTACAGATTTCATTCTGTGGTGGCCTGGAGTTTGCAGAATGTATTATATTACTTAGTATAACTGGTATATAACTTAGTATAAATCCCTCATAGAAAGATCTCTTGGAAAGAAAAGTAAATCTATTGTAACAGTTGGAATCCAACAGCTCAGTTGGAATTTCCTTCTCTCATGCTAGATGTATTGTTATTAGTGCTATTAGTACCAAAAGTGCTTTTTCAAGAGGCAACTGGACTTTCCAGTTCAAAGACATTTCACTTCTCATCCAAGACGCTTCTTCAGCTCAGACTGGATGGTGGGAATGGAAGGATTTATACTGCTTGCAGACAACTGGTCATTTGCATTCTTTTAGTGAGTCATTGAGGCCACCTGGAGATTTATCTGCATCATCAGGGTCATCTGAACAGTGCAACAGTGAAGCCTTCTTGGAACTGTTGAAAGGACTGTGTTGTAGATTGGAGATAGATGATGTCATATCCCTCCAGTGGTGGTATGCTACTGGTTCTGCCTGGTTCTGCCAAGCTAGTAGCAGTGATGATCAGCGGAGACCAAACCAGCTCTGCTTTTGGGCCCACATGCCCACGAGGGCTCCCATCCTCACCTTTATCTTCTGCTTTTAAAGCGCAGCTGCTTTGCGCGGCACAGAAGAGTGCCGCGCGGCAGCTGCTGAAGTGACTGAGAGAGTGCAGGCTTGCAGGAGGTGAGTTGGAATGCCTCAGCATTTGCACAAACATCTCTGTGCCTGTATAAAGTACGCATTTGGCATGCTCACCAAGCCATGGCCCACCGAACTGGTGGTAAAAGTTTTTGAATCCCACCACTGTATCCCTCCCCCTCTGTTGAGAGAGGCTGTTCAGTTTTGACATAGATAGCCTCTTTGACCCTTCTTTCAACCCAGTGGTTCTCTCTGTCAAAAATGTGGACTTGGATGCTTCTTGGATGAGAAATGAAATGTATTTAAAAAAACAGAAAGTCCAATTGCTTTTTGAAAAAGCACTTTTGGGACAACCATGACCTGGATAACTGAGAATCTCCATAGAAATAGTGTTATTAGTATTACCAGTAGTAATATTACTACTATTATAACATTACTAATTAGTGCCTCAGAAATATTGCTTTTAAAAATTAATAGCTTATCTATAACTTGGAATTATACAATACATTGTACTACCTAAGAAATGTATTTATGCATAACCTAGCCATTAGCATAGCAATACCATTTAGCTTTATATACTACTTTACAATGCTTTACAGCCCTCCTTACAGAGTCAGCATATTGCTCTCAAAAATATGGACCCTCACTTTACCAACCTTGGAAGGATTGAAGGCTTAGTCAACCTTGAGCCTGGTGAGATTGCCAAACTGCCAAATTGCAGGCAGATGGCAGAATTAGCCTGCAGTACTGCATTCTAACCACTGTGCCACCACCACCCATTAGTATATTTCAGTATACGGAAATACAAAGTAAATCCAAACTATATGGTGCAATCCCTACTCTCTCCTCTGTAGTATAAATGGACTTTATCAGCCACATTAATAAACAATGTTATTCCTTCTTGCAGGGTGACCTCCAGAGAACAAATATCCAATTGGATTTTGGGGATGGTACTGCTGTATCCTATGCTAATTTCAGTCCTGTAGAAGATGGTATCCGACATGTTTATAAGAGCACTGGAATCTTCCATGTGACAGCTTATGCAGAAAATAACTTGGGTTCTGATTTGGCAGCACTTTTCCTGCATGTGGTTTGTAAGTAGATGGACTCTGAAAAATCTCTTGGTTTGATTAAATGCAGAGTTCATAGCTCTGGAAGACTTGCTCTTAAATCCAATTTCTGTAATCTGATTACCTTACTATTTTAGGTCATTCACCTTTATATTTTTAAACATTGTAAAAGTTCAAATATTTCCTATTAATAGGGTTTTTACTCAGGCCTACCAGTATAAACATTAATAGATTCTACTCTCAATAGGAGAATTACAGAAATATGGTTGACTTTCATACTGTTTTTTCCAATTACTTCCAAATTTTGCTCAAATTCAAATAACATATATAGTGTAAAGGAGTAAATTGAAAATATAAACCATATTTAATAAAAAGTTGAAAATATTAGAATAATTTTATAAATTTATAAGAATAAAAGAATAGTAGAATATTATAAGAATAGTTTAAGAATATTTTTGTCAGAATTATCTAATTGAACATCAGTTTTAGGCATTTTTTTCATATTCAAGAGAAACATAGGTTTGGTAGCGTGCTCTCAAAATTGCCACTCTTTTGTACTTTAGAAGAAAACATGGGTAATTATTTGCCTGAGATGGAAAACATTCATATTTCAATGGGAGAATTCTTTCTTTGGTACAAAAACAATAACCAATATTTTGTCATATGAAAAAATATCTGTATGCAAATTCAGCTATTGGATTGGGTCATCTTGCAACTTTATGTACTACATGTACTTTTCAGTTTCACATTGTTACATTTTGTACTTTTTATAATAGACTTGTACTCTTTTTGTACATTGATTAGAATTCTTTTAGTTTGATAAATACAGAAGTGGGTGTTAGTTTGGCATAATTGTGGAATTTGGTGCCCTGAATATGTCATAATGTTCTTTTTAGATTTGTAAACATACAGAGTTAAAATGAAGTGCAGTACTTCAGTAAATCATGCTGGTCTGTTAACCTTGGAAACAATGTTGAAGGAGACTGTTATTCTATATTATACACTGCCTGTATAATAAGTCTTATTGAACTCAGTGAGTCTTTCAGGCATGCAATAGCTTGCCCTTCTTAGGGACTGGTGAGTATTGTAATATGATTGGGATATTTGAAGTTAGTGAACCATACATAATTACTACAATAATATTCAATAACCTGTTGCTCTATGCATGAAATAATAGAATATGGCAAAGTTAGGACAGGACAGGACAGGACAGCATAGCACAGCACAGCACAAACGTACTTTATGTATAATCAAGATCCTTGGAGGAGGTTGGCTAAAAAGAGGCAAGATAGCTTTATTTGTAAGAGAGCTAATAGATTTTACAAATTACTTTATCAGTGGATTCAGTGTTAACCTTTTTAGTTAGATTGCATTTAATTTTGCAATTTAATATAATTATCATTACACCAGTTTCTTGGGAAGGACTTGATAGATGGACAAAATTGCCAAATCAAGTTTAAATGTCTGGATGACTGTGTGTCCAATCATAATATACTACATTTATATTCCGCATGACTTCCAGCAATTCTGAGTTCTTTATGAATTGTTAAAAACATTTCAGATAAGAAAAGAAGATAAAGCAAAAAAGAAATAAAAGTAATAGAGAAGGTATGCTTCCACTATCCAAATAGATCAGTTGATCAATTGATGGAATCTGACATACACCAATTTTACTAATTTGGAAAATACAGCATATTGACTCCTGCTTCTTTGTGGCAAGCCCTTAGATATGGGAACACTGTTGTCAGGGCTAGGAGTGACCTGATAGCAGTGTTCCCATATCTAAGGGGCTGCCACAAAGAAGAAGGGGTGTGTCAAGCTATTCTCCAAAACAGCTGAAGGTAGGACAAGAAGCAATGGATGGAAACTAATCAAGAAGAGAACCAACCTAAAACTAAGGAGAAATTTCCTGACAGAACAATTAATCAGTGGTTCAACTTTCCTCCAGATGTTGTGGGTACTCCAACACTGGAGGTTTTAAAGAAGAGCTTGCTCAACCATTTGTCTGAAATATGTTTGAGCAGGGGGATTGGATTAGAAAAGAACTCAAAAGTCCCTTCCAACTCTTTTATAGATTTGATTAGCCATGTTGATATTCTGGGAGATAGGCAGTCCCTCGGGTGACTAGGTTCTATGTCATATAGGACATACAGTATAGTAACAACCCAAGCCTTGAATTGAACTCAGAAGAAAATTGGCAACCAATGTAGCTTATAAAGCAGAGGTGTTACATGGTCATATGGAAGCATGCTTGTCACTGCTATGCCACTGCTTTCTAGACTAGATGGTCTTCCAAAAGATTTTTTTAATCTGCAGTTTATTTTCTCTGCTTATAGAAGCAGTGTTTATCAACAAATTGAACTTTAATGAATCTAATTAATTTCATAATCCCTATAAAATTATGATTCATATTTTTATAGGAATTCTCAGCAAAACAATTTTTATCATTCAGGTCAGTTTCTAATCAGGTTCATGATCTTTATCATGCATGCTTAGAAGCAGAAAGAATTGTATTCTGAAAGAACAAAGAGCAAGAGAAGTTAAGAGCAAGCCAACAAACAATAAAATGTGAGTCCACTTCTTTCTGTTGCCTGTTTTCCATCCAGACCTAATCTCATTTGTTTAATCTCTGAGCTCTTAACCAAGACAGCAATTAATCCTCAACAACTGTTGATGTATTAAAGTCTTATCCTGAAGAAACAACCTATTATATACCTATTACTGGGTAATTTGTTTTGCAAGATTTTATAGGGAGATTGATAAACTGTGATGCTCTTGTACTGATTTTCATTTTTCTTTTTGTTGATATTTTCTTTTTTAGAATGTGAAACCTATTGCTAGCATATATGATTCTGTTATAATCTTTTTAAGAAACAGTATACATTTATCTTTTTTTAAAGAAACAGAATGCAGTTATCTTCACAGAAACAGCAGCCCTCACAATCCTTAAATTGTGTTCTGCCCTTTCTTCAACTTTTTAGTATTCTCTGATGTCTATGGTGCCCTTGAAAGCATTCTGTTTGCTTGTCACATTCAGAGGTCAAAGTTGAATGTTATTCTTATTCTTGTGCATGCAAATATATGAATATGACACTTGTGCACATATTTATTACACTGGCAGGAGATAATTTCCACTAATTATTTCTTACTTTCATACTATAGTTTTCTTTTCCATATCTATGTGTGTCTTATTGATCATTTCCTCCTCCTTCCTGCTTTCTCCCTTCTTTTTTCAAGAATAATTAAAAATTCCTCCTAAATGCAAAACCTTCCTTATATTCCTTATATAGGACAATAGCTATGATAAATAATTGCAAGGTCTCACCTGCTCACAATTAGAGCCTTTAATCTAACTGGAGGCACTGGAGAAAATTGCTTACCAATAAGTCATGCATTTTTCTCTGCCAATATATATATTATTTTAAGAATATTTGGGTTGGAATTTAGTCCAGATTTCCAGGAGAGAAGGGTTGCATTCCATCACAATATCTGAATTATTTTCTCCAACAAGATAATTTTATGACAATGTAAATTAATTTAGGTGCTCTGATATAGTACCCCCCAAATCCCCAGCTCAAACTTGTTCTAGAGGGATACCATGGTTGATAATATTGAAAGACACTGATAGAAAAAAGTGCTACCAGGTCTATTAATCCCATTCAGATCATAAAAATTATGCTCTACTACTGGTATTAAAGTTATCAAATAGACAATATGGATATAAATATATACAAATATTTACCTATATACATACATCAATATAAATACATGCATGTATGTACCATTACCTACTCAGGTATTCCTCAACGTATATCTGTGCATTGGTTTTTATCTTTTGAATGATCTTATCACTTACCATATTAAATAAAGTTTACTATTACTTTCATCATTTCTCTTGCTTATTAGCTTTGTTTTGAAGTATAGTTCTGTTTTCAGAGTTATTAATGATTCTGTCCATTTTGGTTTTGGCATCTGCAAAGGTGATAAGCATTACTGTGTCTTTTTATCTTAATCTTTGCCAAAATACACTTCTCAAAAAAATAAAGGGAACATTTAAACAACACAATGTAACTCCAAGTCAATCACACTTCTGTGAAATCAAACTGTCCACTTAAGTAGCAACACTGATTGACAATCAATTTCACATGCTGTTGTGCAAATGGAATAGACAACAGGTGGAAAGCATAGGCAGTTAGCAAGACATCCCCAATAAAGGAGTGGTTCTGCAGGTGGTGACCACAGACCACTTCTCAATTCCTATGGTTTCTGGCTGATGGTTCGGTCACTTTTGAATGCTGGCGGTGCTTTCACTCTAGTGGTAGCATGTGACAGAGTCTACAACCCACACAAGTCGCTCAGTAGTGCAGCTCATCCAGGATGGCTCATCAATGCAAGCTGTGGCAAGAAGGTTTGCTGTGTCTGTCAGCATAGTGTCCAGAGCATAGAGGCGCTACCAGGAGACAGGCCAGTACATCAAGAGACGTGGAGCAGGCCGTAGGAGGGCAACAACCCAGCATCAGGACCGCTACTTCCGCCTTTGTGCAAGGAGGGACAGGAGAAGCACTGCCAGAGCCCTGCAAAATGACCTCCAGTGGGCCACAAATGTGCATGTGGCTGCTCAAACAGTCAGAAACAGACTCCATGAGGGTGGTATGAGGGCCCGACATCCACAGGTGGGAGTTGTGCTTACAGCCCAACACCGTGCAGGACATTTGGCATTTGCCAGAAAACACCAAGATTGGCAAATTCACCACTGGTGCCCTGTGCTCTTCACAGATGAAAGCAGGTTCACACTGAGCACATGTGACAGACATGACAGGGTCTGGAGATGCCATGGAGAATGTTCTGCTGCCTGCAACATCCTCCAGCATGACCGGTTTGGCAGTGGGTCAGTAATGGTATGGGGTGGCATTTCTTTAGGGTGCCGCACAGCCCTCCGTGTGCTCGCCAGAGGTAGCCTGACTGCCATTAGCTACTGAGATGAGATCCTCAGACCCCTTGTGAGACCATATGCTGGTGCGGTTGGTCCTGGGTTCCTCCTAATGCATGACAGTGCTAGACCTCATGTGGCTGGAGTGTGTCAACAGTTCCTGCAAGACAAAGGCATTGATGCTATGGACTGGCCCGCTCGTTCCCCAGACCTGAATCCAATTGAGCACATCTGGGACATCATGTCTCGCTCCATCCACCAATGCCACATTGTACCACAGACTGTCCAGGAGTTGGGGATGCTTTAGTCTAGGTGTGGGAGGACATCCCTCAGGTGACCATCTGCCACCTCATCAGGAGCATGCCCAGGCATTGTAGGGAGGTCATACAGGCACGTGGAGGCCACACACACTACTGAGTCTCATTTTGACTTGTTTTAAGGACATTACATCAAATTTGGATCAGCCTGTAGTGTTTTTTTCCACTTTAATTTTGAGTGTAACTCCAAATCCAGACCTCCATGGGTTGCTAAATTTGATTTCCGTTGATAATTTTTGTGTGATTTTGTTGTCAGCACATTCAACTATGTAATGAACAAAGTATTTAATAAGAATATTTCATTCATTCAGATCTAGGATGTCTTATTTTTGTGTTCCCTTTACTTTTTTGAGCAGTGTATAATGAAGAGGGCCCTAAAATGAATTATGTTGCACCCAACTTCCTCTTTTCAATTTGATAAAGAGCCACTAAGGAATAATAAAACGCAGATTATGACCTAGTAGTGTAGTTATTTAATTGAGAAACCATACAATCCAACTCACTGTTACCTATTTTGTTAAGAAAAATATCATGGGATATTTTCATTTCAGTTTTGTTGAAATGATGAAATATGCCATTTAAAATGTCCCAATAATTCATGAAAGGAAATTAGCAGATCAAATTTGGTAAAATATATTCCAGAAAAATCTATGCTGACTTTATCTTTACCACTTTACCACCTATCTGTTTTTTTAAAGCCCTTAAAAACTCTGTTTATGAAATGTTCTACAATATATCAGGATGATCCATCTGTGTTTTTCTGGATCTTCTTTCTTTCTCTTATCTTTTTGAAGTTATCCAACCCTGTAGTTATCTGGGACTTCACCTGTTTTTCCAGGGTTAATTTGTATTTCAGACGTTTTCCAAAAACTTGGGAATTATTATTATTATTATTATTTGCATCTGAGGTAGTTGTTATTGCTAGTGGGTTTTTCAAACTTCAGGCTAATTTATAGTTGTTTACATTGATCACAGTTTGGTACAATCACAATGCAATAGCATTTATTGAAATAGCCTTTCTCAGCTTGCTTTCCTTCACATGTGACATTTTGTTATTTTTATAGTTAGCACTGTTTCTTGTTTTATAATTATTTAAACAGACAGAAGTGCCAAGTAGAAAAAGGGGCTGTTTTAATTTAATTTTTCTTTTAACCTCCTTAAGATATGAATAAAAACAAGCCTGATATATATTATTATCCTTCTACAGGTCCAGTGGAACGTGTCCACCTGAGTGTCCCTTTTGTGGCCATTAGAAATAAGGAAGTCAATCTCACAGCTGTAGTTTGGCCAAATCAGTCAGGCACCTTCACTTACTTCTGGTGGTTTGGCAACAATAGCAAGGTTTGTTCCATTTTTAGAAATATATTTATTTTCTTTGACAGGATTAACTATTGATTAATCTTGATTCTGAAAAGAGAATGCCACCTGGAACTGCAATAAAGCAGTATAATCTTCTATTACTGTCAAAACAGCTTCTTCATTTTTCAAACTTTATTTCCTTCCTTTTCCCCCCTTTTTATCCAATCTCATGTGGCTGTTTGCAGGAGTCTTTGCAATGTGCAGTTGTCTGTTATTGGAACATTATGTATAGAAGCTATTATTACTACTAGAATTCAAAATTATACCCCATTGTATATATGGATAATTCTGGGTTTCTGCTCAGCATTTAAAAATGGCTAGTTATCAACTAAACAGTGTTTCTAACAAGAGGGCTAGCTTGTGCATAGAATTTTAGAATCTGACACACATTTTAAAGCCATTGGGAATCAAATCACTTTTGGTCTCTGTGAATTCAAGCTAAACAACTCTGAACAACTCTGTACTTGTGTGCCCATGCTGTGTGTTCCTGTCTTTGGACACATGTCAGAGGTCTACATGAATGCTCAATGACGGTTAATACGGTAGTTACATGTACAATTATCAGCTAGTGTATTTCTGAACCTAAATTTGAAAAAAAATAATGGAGTTTTTGATGATTGCTGAATCTGATACTCTTTGTAGATGATAAATGTATACTTCAGTAAGATTATTCAACAAATCTAAGGTTTTTTAAGGCTTATTTTAGACACATGAATATACAGTTGTTTCAAACTGCGCACTGAACTTCTTTGGAAACCTAATAGGGGTTCTGAAATGTATACTAGATACAAGCTCCTATAAAATATTATTTGCCACCAGTGGTGGGATTCAAATTTTTTTACTACTGGTTCTATGGGAGTGGCATGCTGGACGTGGCAGAAGAAGGATACTGTAAAATCTCCAGTCAGAGGTAGTATTTGCCAGTTGTCGGAACTACTCAAAATTTCTGCTGCCAGTTCTCCAGAACTGGTCAGAACCTGCTGAATACCACCTCTGTTTGCCACCCACTGATCTTCCCATACAATGATATATATATATTAAATTCAGACCCTTGCCTGAAAATACACTTGAGTCCAAGAATACTTCCTGAAATCTACTAAAATATGAAAGAGTCTATAGTACATGTTCAGGGAATTGATGGACAAGAAGGCAAGGAGTTGTTTGGCAGACTAAAACTGGAAAATTTAAAGAATCATGGCAGTAATACCTAGTAATAAATACTATTGGATCGTCTTCACAGCAAGCCAGCTCACCAATTTTTCTGGATCAATATTATCTGCAGTGACTGGCAACAATTCCTAGGAAATGAGAGAAGTATTTCCAGCTATGCCTGTAGATATTAGGTATTACATCTAAGAACAGAAAAATGTATGTTGTCTAATTAAGTAAAGACTCTTTTTAAATAATACTATAAAACTTGGAGAATGTTAATTGTCTGGTTTTCCCATAGGACACTAATTGTTTAGAAAGTTATAGCCATTGCAATATTTAAAAGAGCTACTCTTCCAGAATCATATTCTAAAATATCCTTTAAAAAAATCAAGCACCTGAGAGCTGAAAAATATTCCCAGTACTATTTTTAGTTATTTAGTTTGTTTTATTGAAGTTTCAAAAAGAAATGTAAAAACAAATTGATTTGTTATTTTCTGTTTACACGTTTTCAGTTTCTGAATTAATAATAGTCAATCATTTATACATTTACATCATTCACGCATAACTTCAATTCAAATGCAAGGTTGGGCTTCCAGAAGAAACAATATAGGATGAATATATGGCCAGTCCCATTTTATTATTTTTATCAGATCTCCAGGGACTTTTTCTATCGAAGTGTCTTTCTGTCTATCTGTTACTTTGGAAACCATCTTATATTGTGAAAATTATATGTCTGCTACCTTGTTGTCTTTGATTTGGCACCATCATTGTCTTCAGGTTGCAGAAACAAATCTTGTTGAATAAACATTCTCCTTTTTTGATCTTAGGAAGGATTTCACATATTTCATCCTTCATACATGTCTATTTCCATAAATTCATGGCATGCAGTTAGACATTATAATTATAGATTGGCATTCTGGTTGTCTCAAATATACTTCCCCCCCATAGACATTTAATGGCTGTTTTTTTCTCAGACATTGTCACCCTATTTACACATTAAGTAATTTTAATTACATCAGCATCCATTTTTGTCACATGGTAGCAATTTTGTACATGTATATTTAACCTTCAAGTGACAATGTTGGTTCAGAGTGTGCTGTTACTTGCTTTTTAAAAGTGTTTTCAGAGTCTTTTCAATTTTGGTCCCTAAAATTTGATACCCTAAGCCAGTGCCCCCTGGGCCTCAGCCTAAATCCAGCCCTGTATCTGAAATTTTCTTCAATTGACATAGGAGTTTTCACATTATTTTAAACATAAATTTGTATGGACAATTGGTGTATAAGTTTATCAGGCAAAGGTAAACAGAAGGTCAAACCTAATAATTTTTTTTTAGCTCCAAATGGATATTTCTTTATTATAGCATTTGGGAAACAAAGTTTGTATCTTCAATTTAAATTTTATTTATGCATCACAAATAAACATCAAATTGTGAGTCCATAATATCACCAAAATAGGGGACAGTGTAAAGCTGGAAGAATATTTGGTTTTGCAAAATGATGATAATCATAGGAAATAGAACTAAAAACTAAAATAGGGCTGTCACATAGCCAGCCTGTTTCATAATTTCCCACTGATAAAAATCCATTTATTCACCACATGGATTAAAACAACTGCAGAAGAACTGCTATTCTCCCTGGGCTTTTGTGCTTTGTTGACTCTTCAGGGGTCCACTAGTTGTTATCACTCTCTGACTTCTATTTATGCACTCTCTACAAGCAAATTACTTTAGGGACTGTTGTCTTGAGTAGCAGGAGCTCATGAGATTTGGAGAAGGATCTCAAAGTTCTTTATATGAACCTCAATAATCTGCAGAAAAATACTATTAGTATAAAGAAGGAACCCACTTTATGTAAATATCCTTGTTTAAAACAAAATGCAAAACAGCTTCTGCACATTGTATGAGCACATTGGAAATTCTAATTGCAGGCCTGGAGATCTTTGTCTGCACACAGATTGCAAACCAGTAATACAATTAACCAAATACAAATCACTTTGTGAATCTTAAACTTTGTAATTTCTTTGTATTATAAAAAAAATCATGCTGATTTTTGTAAATCATGTAAATAATTGGAAAAGTGCTAGAAACCAATGGTAAACTAAGAATAATCCATCATATAGCACAAAGGATCCACGCACCGTCCATGTGATGGAGACTGAATAGTTGTAAAAGCATTTAGGACAAAAACCTTGACTAATTCTTCATTATCTTGCCATTTTCTAACTGAAGACACTGCATTGCTCAACCTTCTTTGGATTAATGCAGTTCAGTCAGTTTCTCATTCAACTAAAGCCATGAAGTGACTGGTGTAAATGAGATTTTAGTCTCTATTTAACTTCATTGAACTATACTATATTAAGAGTATCTATGTAATTATACAGTACAATTTCAAACAATGATTTTATTTACTCATTAATTTATTTAAACAGGGTTATTGTACTGAAGTGTTTTGGTATATTTTAGCAATATACCAAAACACTAATTTGCTTGGAATAGCGTCACCTCAGTTTAATAAATGAATCTGGATATCTAATAGGCTTTGAACAAATGAACCTGAAACTCCTTGATTTAATTTAGAGCTAGTTTCCAGACCTCAGTGCTGGAATTCAATTGAAGGAACTACCAGAATGTTAAATTTCTGTGGTGAAGGTGAAATCAGCCATGATAATTGAACAACTACCAAGAAGGTAGATTTTTCAAAAGAAAACTGGATTTTTTTTATAGCATGACAAATAATATTATAGCACAACACAGAGCCAGACAAGTTCTATCTCAGGAATTCTGAGGATATAAGGAAAGAAACGTAAGAGAAGTTTACTTGGAGGAAATAATTTCTAATTAATCACTGGCAAGAGCATCTTAATAGACAAGTAAAAAAAGTTGAGATGGCAGCTATCAAGCCCTATTCCTACTTTAAATGTGGTACACCTAAAAGGATAAGAGTTCAACTGCAAGGGCATCACTTCAACTCAACTTCCTGAGCCCCTTTCCTCCACAGATACCTGTCACAGTTCTATACAATATTCATCCCTTTAATATATACACTATATTTATAATCAAGAAGAAGTGTTGATGATGAACAATTTTTTGGGGAAAACATTCAAGACCTGCCCCTATCAATGAACCTCCATGGGGATTCCACAAATGGGTTTCACTCTGTCAGGAATCCTTCTTCAAACAGCAGTAGAAAACTTACAATATAGTGAAATTAAATGGGAAAGACATGTAAAGATTGCAATGGGCCACAATTGCAGTTGTACAAATACTCTTATGGAAATCTCACAGTTCACAGAATCCTTCAGACTTGTGCTATGAAGAATAATTGGTAATCACCCTGCAATTGTACAATCATTACTGCTGGTGAACAATTGCTGTATTTTTTTTCCCAAGGGGAAGATCTCATATTGCCTTGACAATGGGTTTACTTGGAATGAAAGAAAAAAGATGGAACATCTCATTTGCTGGTTCATTCTAAAAGATTGAATCCTGGCCAGATTAGCTTTCTACAGATGCCAATTTCTGTAGAAATGGATTCAGCTATCAATCACTACTGATTTATTCTATTATAAAAGCAATGTGATGCAGAAGATTGCCTATGCTATCTTAAATAGTGGTCTCATCTGTACTGCTTCCCCCTCAAAAATACAGATTTAATGATATACTCATATTCACGTTTGCACTCGTGATTTTTGTCTTACAATTCTGAAATAGCTAATGAAATGACTATGATTAAATTAATGAATTGTTGCTAACTGTATGTCACTTTTACAGCCGTTCATCACCTTGGATAGCAGCATCTCTTATATCTTTACCAGTGAAGGACTGAATACTATCACAGTGCAGGTCTCAGCTGGCAACATCCTTATCCAGGACACCAGAAACATTGCTGTGCATGGTGAGTTGACAAAAGAAAATTGAAGAGGTTTGCATATCTGCTTTCCTCAAATCTAAGCTTTGAAATGTAAGACCTGGCAAAGAGGTCTAAACTATATTTTCAAGGTACAATTAAAATATATTTGGTAATAACTGTTTAAGGAAAGAGATATGAGAAAGAAGGAAAGATGTAGCACTCAGATTCACTACTACATCTTTCAGAAATACTTCAAAACAAATTATTTTAATGATTGGATAGTATAATATCACCATAAATCATAGTCATAGCCATGCATCTATTCTGCTTTATTGGGGGAAAAACAGATTTTGGCTAAATTAGCTTTTGGCTTCCTGAATATAATACCAATCCATCTTTTAAGTTATACAGTAGTAGGAATATTAGAAGCAGAGTGAATGACATATGTTTGTCTTAATCATGACATCTTTTATTTCTGGTTTTGTTGGAAATAAAGTCTTAAACTTCAAAATTGAATGATGATGTGAATTATTTCTTCAAGATGTATTTCAGTTATTGAAGCACATTCTGTAAATCAGAGGCATTTGCAGGGAAGGTAGATGACCAAAGCAGCCACTGTATGCAAGTTATGTCCCTTGTATATATGTATGTTGAGGTATCCGGGATATGAAGGAAAGCAGTAGAATTTGTATCACAACAATGTGGTACTATTTTTGTGATTTGGACAGTAATACTACCCTCTACATATATTTCTGAATCTATCATATGTGAAGCATTATTTGGAGCACATGGGTGTTTTTGAATGGAGGTGCAATCACAACATATCATAAAATTAAAAAAAGGACACTGATCCGTTTGATGGCTTTTGGAAATAAAAATTTTAAAAATTCACCACATTTAGAATGTGGCAACCCCAAATTACTTGATAATGTTCAGGGCATAAATCAAGTTAGGCATATATATAAGGAGTTAATAGTATGGAAAAACTGCATGTAAAAAATATTTTCCATTCCAATAGAAACCCTGGATCAAATGGTCATGCTGTGCTGTTTTATAAAAGATTTGCTTTTGAAGGCTGGAATATATAAGCTGAGCTGGAACTGTGTTTAGTACGAGTGCATATCATATATTCATATACATGAACATACAAACACACACACATTTGTACAAATATACACATACATAAAAAGTATATGTATGCATATACTCTACCCGACTCTGTAGTCTCTTCCCCAAACCCCAAAAACTTTAACCTTAGACTGTCTACTATTGACCTCACCCCTTTCCTAAGAGGTCTGTAGGGGGCGTGCATAAGCGCACCAACGTGCCTACCGTCCCTGTCCTATTGTTTCTCTTATTCTTTTATTTTTCTTATATGTACCCATTTCATGTATTCACAACTATGTATACACTTATACTTATTATCTTGTAAACAATTGGCAAATCAAATAAATAAAATATACATACAGATAATACATACTGCATTTAAAGATCATTTTCATCAGCTTGATAGATTTTTAAAAGTTTCTTTGGAAAGAAAAAATATATAAAACTTACATGAGTGGAGAACAGTGTTATGATACTTATCTTAATCACAAGGTTGCTGATGAATGGAGATGAGTGCTTTGTATTTCATTGTCCATTTTTCAGCTGTCTGTGATCTTCAAGTTTCAATAAATTCCAAAAGAAGACATTCTGCAGACAGTCCTTGGATTTTTTTTTGATTTTTTTTTAAGATTCAGAAGTTAGGAAGAATGCAAGTGATGGAGAGACTTATAGAAAATAGTAGTAGCAGTAGCACAGCATTTTCTATACTTCTCAAGAAAGCTCAGAGATGCAACCCAAGTAAATTATAAAGAACCCTATGTAGGAGGTGTAGAAACTGAGTACTCCTTTACTGGGGAAGAATGCTTTCAGGAAATTGTGTATCAGTGGGAAAGCTATGAAAACCAGTTTGGCACAATGGTTAAAGCACCAGGCTAGAAACCAGAGGACCATGAATTCTACTCCCACCCTAGGCATGAAGCCAACTTGGTGACCTTGGGCCAATTATGCATGCACAAGGGAGGTTTTTACATTATGTTCCTGATATCAAGTAAACAATTGGACTTGAAATGATATATGCCACTTTACAGAAAATATTGTCATGACTAACTGTAAAGTTTGGCATAAGGATTCTTTTCACAATTCTAATTCTTAATAAATGTGTCAATTTACTTTTTAGCGAATTGGATATTGTTGGCATGGAAATAGCTAAAAATACCCTATTTTCCCCAAAAACAAGCCCTAGCCTGATTTTTTGGGGGTGGGACTAATATAAGCTCTACCTAGAAAATAAACCCAGGAGATAGGCATGGTTTGCCAACCCTTTGGTGCAGTGCAGATACCTGTAAGTCCAAGCACAGAGGCAGCGGCAGAGGCAGGGGAAGGGAGACAGGGGATTTAGACATGCTGTATAGCTGCCTGGCTCACAGGAAGCTCGCAGGAGGCTTGTGCGGTGCCACCGATGGCAGGTGAAGGCACAGGCGAGGGGGAGGAAGGCAATCCCCATGTCCTGCATGGGTGCCTGCCCAGTGCAGCTGTGGGCAAACCAAGAGACAGTGGGATGGAGTGGGTGGCATGTAGGGATTGCCTGCCTCCCCTCTGGCATCTGCTTCCACCTGGCTCCACCGTGCACTTTTTGTCCAGAGGAAGGCAAAGTTTCATCTGCCCACAAATGGGATGCTGTCTCATTTCTCCAACTGGGCAAAACGTACTTGGTTATCTATAGTTTGCTTGGCGACGGAGTGTTTTGCCTGGCTGCATCACTTGGCTTCTTGCTCTGGTGCCGTGCTGGTGCGAGAAGAAGTGAGCCAGTGGCCAGGTAGGCTCTTGCTGCAAATGGCTGCCAGTGCTGTTGTCACCAGGCATTTGTTGGGGTGTTGAGCCATCGGGCCCTGAGATAATGGCCCTGCACATTAGGTAGCTCCACCACCCCCATCTCATAACAGTGGCACTCAAACAAATTAAGATAACCCCCCAAATAAGCCTCAGTGCTTATTTCAGGGCCCAAAAGAAAATAAGACCTAGTCTTATTTTCAGGGAAACATGGATAATATACACTGCATTATATATTGGCATGTATTTCTCTGCATGTGTACGATCCTGAATAAAAAGGAGAAAGCCTAATATGATCAGACATTTTGACATTGACATTTTCATTTCTTCAATGAGGCACAATTCATTTCTATATGTATTGTTACTTTTTGCTCCCACCCTATCAGCGCTTAGAATTGCTAAATATAGAGGGAATTTAAGGGACATGCACTCCTTTATAGGCTAAGTATTTTTTGATCACATCTCTGAGAGAAATTAAACTTCATTTCTATTTCATGAACATTAACATTACTTATTTAAATATAATTAAAATGATTTATTCCCCAGTTATTTATTAAATAGCTTTCTTTGGTTGTCCTGTTAAAACATACAATTTGGTGATAAGACTTTGGGGCCTGTACTCAAAGTTTGGAGTACTTGGAGGTCTTAGTCTTGGATTTTGCTTATCTGAACTGTCATTAGTATCAGATCAGGCCACAGAATATCTACTTCTAAAGCCCTAATTAGGTTAACATAAAAATATAAAAACATATAAACATATAAAAACATCTTCAAAAATAGAATGAAGTATTTGAGAAAAATAGGAGATAATGAGAAGAACTATCAGTAAAGATGAAGAATAAAGCAAACAAATAAGCAAGAAGCTTACTAAAAGCCAAATAAACCTTTTGTCTAGAGAAATGGTCCATTTTTGAGACATAAAACTTGTCTCCCACTTAAATTAGCCTTGCTCTACTGCAAAGATTTAATTTGGGAGTGATTTCTTCATGTCTCAGGAACTGCTGCACCCTGATTTGTCTGTCATTACCTTAATCTGATTTGTTCTGCATTATGTAGCACATAAACCTAACAAACAGGTTATCTCTTTGCTTTTGGAAAACAGATTACTAGTACTAAGGATGTGCTCAGTGGACCACAAAGCATGTCAAATACAATAGAAGAAAACACTAGTTATGGAACTGCTGCTCAACTTACTCTTGGTCCTGTTTTATTGCTGAATAATATTGATGAAATAAAAATAGTTTAGAATGCTAGGCAAGAGACAAATGTCACACAAAGGATTTATGCCATTCTTTGATTAACTTCCTGCTTTTTATTTCAACCTTTCTTTTAGTTTCTTAGCAAAATTATTTTTTAAAAAAATCTCCTGTCAACTTATGCCTCTCATTTAAGTTTTACATCCTCCCCCCGTTTTTCCCCTCTCTTTTTCAATTGACTCCCTCTCAGAATCCTTCTGGGATACAGGGTGCCATCCTATGTTCAAGGTATCCCAAAGATATTCTTCCCATACCAGTGCCTCAGAAAACAGTCTGAAGCCATCTTACGTTGTATTCACTTATGCTGTTATTACAATGCAGAAAACCCACAAGGATAATCGTGATCCAGTCTGCGCTCATTTACCAATGGGATTGTTTGGAGAGAGCAAAAAATATCACCTGAGCATTATAGGATACTATACAATAAATGTCAGCTAAACAACTTACTACTACCTTAGTTTTGATAATGAGATGGTAGCATGCTGACAATTTAAACAACAATTTATACAATTGCCTCACAACAATGGTCTCTGCATCTTTGCCTGTAGTTGTGACAGTTGGATTGGATGATCAGAAATAAATTCTAGCTCACACATAGAAGAAGACATTAAGTTGTAGAAACAGTGGGGGAGGGAAGAGCAATAATGGCTTCACCCCATAAATTGGGACCTGAAATGAGGTAAGAGCCTATGCATAGAAAAAATGAACCATCAATCACTTTTGTAAAATTGCATCAAGGAAATGAAACAGGAACAGAGCTGGAAACAAGGGAACCCAACTCCAAAGCAAACAATATTGTGAAATTAGTCAAATCCCAAGGTGAAGTCCAAGTGAAGTTAAAAAAACATTAATGAGAAAGTGCCTGTATTTACTTATGAATATTATTCATCACTACTTTTTTGTATGGAAGGTGATTAAAATTCTTTTGTATGAAAAGTTGTGAGTTTATGTATACATGATTTTTATACTGAATAGAATCTTCTCTATATATGGAGAACATACAGAAACACATAATTTACTGGAAAGTTAAAGGAAGATCAGGAACATTTTTATTAAATATATAATAATTTAATGTGAAAGCTTTACATAGTAGAAACAACTTTCGGCATCTGAGAAGAATGTCAATTTTCTCTCGAACAAAAATGATTTTGAGAATTGTGCAGTATATGCACAGCACTCATATTTACAAATGCACACACACACACACATATACACAACACCCACCCACAAATAAACATACAAGATATTTTATATGCTTTACATTACTGAGAATATATGTTTCTATAGATTTCTTTTAGCTATATGTAGAACTTTGTTGTATGACCTTATAATGAATGCATTTTAACCATTCGAATGTAATCAGCCTTAATAGTTTGTACTGAAATTTTAGTGTGTCACTCTTTCTTTGCAGAATATTTTCAGTCTCAGTTATTATCATTCTCACCCAATTTGGATTATCACAATCCTGATATCCCAGAGTGGAGAGAAGACATTGGCCGAGTCATCAAAGCAGCTTTAGTGCATGTGAGTACCTAGGGAAATCTACCAAATAATAATAAGCATACTTTTCTTAAAGTTTGAACAGTTTGTAGAAGCACAATTCAGGAAAGGAGATTATAATTTTCAATTACACACCACAACTTTGATAAAGCTAGGCTTATCATTCTGATACACACATGCAAGTTACCTAGATAAATATTATATAAAACTTTTCAGCACCCAACAAACCCAGACTTGTTTTTTTAAAAAAAGATGTTTGTTTTGTTCTGTTGTTTAATTGTTTTCTTAGTACTAAAATGTTTTGCAGTTCTTGAAGTATTATCTGTGCAACCTTTGATGATAAGAAGATGCAATCATTTTGTATATAAAATGTTAGGAGGGATTAATTATAATATACAATTTTTCCATTTAATCCCTAATTGCTGAGTCTGTGCATGTATGTTTGTTATTCAAGATGGATATATTATCTGTCTTCATGATCAATGCAGCTTAATTGACTCACACAATGATGCTATCTTTATGTCATTTCTATAATTATGTTCTATGTCTTCCACCTTAGCAAATAGTATAGAAATACTGCAATACACAGTGTCTGTTTTTAATTAATCAGATATAAATTCATTCATTTTTTAAAAGTATGACCTTTTTCATTATTTTTGCCATTATTATGCAGGCTTTTAATAAACAAATAAATGCACCTAATCTTCCACATGGGTTTTCAATTTACTCTGTTTCTTCTGCTTAAAAGATACACAATGAAATCCTGATTAACAAGTTCAGTGTTGCAAAAAAAAAAAAAAAAGATAAAGAAAAGCATTCTCTGGCTTTTCCCAATAGAAAATAGAGGAGCTTTGAAAATTACTTTTTTTCTTGCTATATTACAAAAGAATATGAAAAAGCGTTTCTTTTTGTAAACTTGTTTCTATTGTTTTAAAAACATCTGCCTTCAGTGTACTGATCAAATCCTTCCACAACCATAAGCTCAGCCACAAGCACTCCATAAGGCAGTAAACTTTTTTTTTTCACCTCAGCTTTGGCAGGGTAAATAGTTGAAAATATGTGAGGATAAGTCTCAGGGAAAGAGATATCTGTGTGGAAATTATCAATATCCAAAAATTTTCCTAAACCAAGACCATTTCTCTTTACCCTTCTTTGATTTCTGGGCTCCCTCCAGTTTATGTCTTCATATCAATATTGAGACTTATTCTTTCTACAGCCAGGCCATACATTTCACATTCTTTTTCCTAGCCCAGTGTATTGTGGTAACTGAAATCTAGCTTGCTTAGAAATCCTCTCTTAGGCTACTATGAACATCTTGCTCTCTATTCTTTCTTCATACTCTTTCAAAACATAAGAAGCTGGTTATGGAGCTGGTCAGGACAGATATGTTAGTGGTTGACTTCTGTGGCTGATATCAAAGCTCTCGTTGTGAAGCAGACAGCTCAAGCTTGATTTTTAAATGTTTTCAGCATTGTTTCAAATAGTATACTGTGCATCCTGCATTTATTCAGGGTATTCTTCACATCCACTTGATACTTCTTTTTAAGGCAAATTACAAAATGATTGACAGCCATATTAAAATACAAAACAGAATGAAATATAATTCCCATGTACAATGTAAATCTATACTAGAAAATTCCTTTTCTCCTAAGAATTAGATAATCAAAATAATAAGAGACAAATTATGAATTCTGTTTATTAAAGAGAACTTATCATATTTCCTTTTAAGAGAATACTGATTTTTGCAGTCAATAAACACTTTTGTGAAAAATTGTAGTCTCCGTTTTAATAGTTATATATAACCGAAGCCATGCATTTTGATGTATTTTTTTTAAAAAAGCAGAAGGATTTTGCATGAGTAACATTAGGATTCTATTTAATGAGTTTCAGATCATTCTATCTTTAGAATAAAATTTATTGTGTGTGAGAGAGAAAAGGGAGGAGGAAAGGAGGAAGGAAGAGAGAAGCAGAGAAAGGCACACACACAGACAGACAACAAGGCATCAGGGGTTGAAATGTATCAATGGAATGTATATCTCTTTCAATCTGATATAGATTAGTCCTGATTAGGTTGGGTATATATAATAGAGGTAGATGATAGATAGATAGATAGATAGATAGATAGATAGATAGATAGATAGATAGATAGATAGATAGACAGACAGACAGACAGACAGACAGACAGACAGACATGATAGATAGTCACAAAAAGAAAGAGTATGGTCTTCCAAAATTGTTATTCTCTCCTACCATTTTTTATACTTGGAAAGAGCTTTAGGGAATTGCAGTTTGCAAACTACCATGAGCAGAGAAAGATGCCAATACTGTTGAAATTCCTAATTTTAGCTTCAAAAAAAAGTATTTTGTGTGACTGAGATAGTTTTATCAAGTCCAAAACTGGAAAGAAGAGATACATTGTTGAGGCACACTACTGAGATTTCTGTGGCGCCATTGCATGTTCACTAATGTTATTTGGCTTAAAAATGGATCTAGAATATTCACTAATTCAGAATATAGGACCTGTCAGATATAGTTTAAGTTATTGATTCAATTTATTCAAAATAAGATAAAAGGATAGTATTCATTACACATTTACGTGTAGATGTAGTCAAATAGTATTTTATTGCCATTAATGTATTCTATTGTTTTGAAGATGTATTTTATATATAGAACTATTACATTAAATGTTTTCTTTCATAAATTGTTGAATGAAATGAAAACAACTCTATTGGTACTATAAAAAGGGATTTTCAAAAAATTATACAAGCATATATTGCTATGCATTCCTCTGTTGTATCAAGTGCTAAGTTATATGGTGTTCCTTTTTTTTATTTAATAGTATCACCTTTTCTACACCATTTGCCCACTGCTTCTCCAAAAACAGAGTGATTTTTGTTCTCTTCACATTGCTAAGTTAGGGAATATTAAGCTGTCATTCTATCCTTCTAACTTAACACATACAAGTCTTCCAAGAACATCATATAGCAAAACCAGAATATTATTCACATCACTTATCATTGTCATTGCATAACATTATACATTATAGAGCAAGAATTCTGAAATTATTTCAAATATGAAAACAGGTCTGCTTTTGTGCAATGTTTACCCACTATAAATACACTAGGTGTATATTTGTCTCACAACCTCTTTTTTTTCTGCCATTGTTAGTTTGTTGAGAGTTAAATGACTTACATACTAAGGATGTAGCAATAGCATGTACTAAAGAATCCTGTTTGTTTTTTTCTCACTTTGCTTAGGTGACTGGTATACCCAAGGAACAAATTCTTGTAGCAGTATTCCCTGGATTGCCTACCTCTGCAGAACTCTTCATCTTACCACATCAAAACATATCAGAGAGAAGGAAAGATAGTGAAGATGATTTGGAGCAGGTGGGGTTTTCCTTCTTTCAGGTGGTTATGTAACTGTTAAACTGGCTCTGAACTGAAGAGCATTTCAAATCTAGGGGAGATTTTCTCAGCCATGGCCATTTGAAGATGTGTGGACTTCAATTTTCAGAAGCATCACTGGCTAGGAAATTATCACATCTTCAAGTAGCCAAACTTGAGAAACACTGATCTAGAAAATTTAAGCTTGCCAAACTTTCTGTATAAATATTGATTTTGTCTTTAAACTGGTAATTGACAGCCACCCCAAAATGGAAATCATCAAGTAGATTTTCTGAGTATATGCTTTCTTATTAGAACAATTTATAAAACATTTTGATGGACATGCCATGAGGTGTGATATATGTGAATTTGTAATAAATTAAAACACAGTACTTTAAAATCTGCATCTAATAATTTAAGTCAGTTTAAAAATATAGTATAACACAAAAACATGCAGTAGAAGCAATACAAATTGTTATTTTTATTTTCTTGTTACCACATCTTTGTTCTGCAAAGATTTTTTTGGTCCCTTTAAAGCAATTTTTAACTCCTAGGTCCTACAAATTTCTTGGTAAGATTTCAGAAGTAATTTGCCATTGCCTGCCTCCTTGGATTGAGAGAAGGTGACTCATACAAGAACACTCAGCTGGCTTTGTGGCTAAGGCAGGACTAAAAGTCATGGATTTCCAGTTTTTTGCCTAACCACTGCACCAAATTGGCTCTCTCTGCAAAGATACTACTAAGTAAATAGAAGAGATTTATTAAAGAGTTTAGAAGCAGAAAAACATAATATACGCTTGAGAGAAAGAAATCCAATTCCATACTTGCACAAATGAAAGTATTAGGAGATAGAGACTATAAAGATGGTTTTAGGACCCAGATAAAACATGTAAGAAGAAATATATCACTCATCCATTCATCATGAACAGAGCTGTGGTGACGCAGTGGTTAGAATATGTACTGCAGAACTAACTCACTGCTCACTCCAGGAGTTCAGTTCTGAGCAGCTCAAAGTTGACTCAACTTTCCATCCTTCTGAGGTCAGTAAAATGTGGAGCCAGATTGTTGGGGACAATATGCCAACTCTGTAAACTGCTTACAGAGGGCTGTAAAACACTTTGAAGTGGTTTATAAATGCTATTGCTATCATTAGGTTTATAATTTATATTCCTGTTATTACAACTCTGAATAACAGTTAACAGCTGTATCTAAGTATGAACTATCCTCTGCTTGCTGCCTTCTTCCAACTCATAATTGAAAATGCTCATAAACACCAGCAAGTTAAAGAGAATTGTTGTTGTATCCTATGCTGCCTTTGATATGGCTTGAATTAATCTGAGTACAAGGATCATCATGTTTTCTCCATCCTACTTTGCATCAGATGCAAATTACTTCAACATGATTCCAAACTGTTGATGTTTTTCCCCCTGATTTTAATTCTTCAGCTTTATACATATACTTGATTAGATAGGCAGTTGTTAAATCACAGTGCAAAAGAAATCCTAAAGCAATAGGCAACCAATTCAAGATTGCTTTTTAGTTGCAACAAAACATTCAAGTTCTTTTTGTACCATATCAGTGGGATAGAAGACAAATGGTAATTAGCTGTAGAATGCAGTATGTATAGTAATGTAATAAATTCCCCTAAGTCAGAAACTGGCCACACTTAATTAAATTTGAATGATAATTCTTCTGGCCGTTATTTTTTTTCATGGAGCTGAGACTGAAGCTAGGTAGGGCAGTGACTGTGGTTGTGGTTGTGGCCTCATGATGCTAAAGTTTCCTTTTTGCCTACATTAAAAGTTTGTGTGGCCTGAAAAGTACGCTTATCTTGTTTCAAGAAAATTAATTTCTAGGTGAACGAGAGACTGTAACCAAAAGTTTTCTTTTTTGCTTAACACTAAAGTTTCATGTTTATTTGTTTTTTCCCCCTTTACCAAAATAGTAGAAAGTGTTGCAATTGATTTCCAGCAATCATGATGAGTGAGTAGCAACAGAAGGGGTTGCCCAACTCTGGGTTAAATAAAAGCTCTCTTGTTTGCTCAATATTTTTTTCTAAAGTCCAATCATTTTTTGCCTATATAGCTCTAATTTGAAGGGAGCTGCAGTTATTTAACTTCCTTCCATTTTTCCCCTTTCTTTTTTCCCTTTTCCATTTTAATCATGCCTTGACTTCTTTGAAATACAGAACACCGTCACAGTATACTGCCTCTGTCCTTTCTATAGACAAATATAATTGTATCAAATTGATTTTCACCAATCCAGCAAATTTCTGATATGCCAACTGTATCAGGCAATTAGTGTAATTAATATAATCAAAATTTAATGGAACATACTGTATTTGGAATAATTATGTAGAATACAATATTTCAGCAGGTGCAGTTTTCCCAGTCTTTGTACATTGCATTTAGCTTATACCTGTCAAAATCTTTCTTTCAGAAAACAACTAAAGGCATAGGGTACTTTAATTTTTAAAAGATTTTCTTGCCTTACACACAGGTGCTGTTCCAGATTAATTGGTTCCTATTTCATTTGTTCTAACCCACTTCAAGGTGCCAGATTTGATCTTTAAACCTGTCCTCACATGGGACCAAGGGAACTGAATGACTGCCTTTATGCTCTAACCCAGACTTTTCATTTCAGGAAGTTTACTGAGGAAAAGGATTTTTCCACTGATGTTGTACTTTATCTGTCATATCCTTTCTTTGATTCCAAGTGAAAACATCTTCCTTCCTCAGTTTTTAATCAGTTGTGTTTCAGTTCAACATTTTAGTAATCAGATATGTCCTTTTTGAAATTTTTGAGGAGCGAGTCTTATAACGGGACCTTACAGCAAATTTCATTACTCTTGCTGATAGCCTGCTAAATAAGTGTGGGTGTCTAACAATCCATAACATATACATTACATTTGTTCATATAAATGTTGAGCTGAAAGATTTCAAATGAAATTACATGATAAAGTGAAACTGATGTGATTTGGGAAAAGGGAACTTTTGTTTCATGAAGTTTTCATTCTGCTACCAAGGTCATTGCAGAAAAAAATGTGTTCCCTTTTGGCAAGCTGCCATTTCTCTGACACACAGTTGTCAAAGAAATAATGCTGTGTTATAATTTAGCAAAATTTAAATGTAGCTTTAGGGACATTTTCATATTATGTCTTCATATTGTGCCTTTATAGTGGTTAAAATGCCCTTGAACCCCTAAGAAGGCTATTACATTTCTGTCATTTAGTTAGAACTCACTGGACCTAATGGGTAATTCAAAAGTTACAAGCTTACCAAAATCCCTATTGACAAATTCATACTTTTCATAGCTTTTTTAAGCTCTCTCTAAAATTATTGGACATTGATCTTAGGTTTTTCTGAAAGCAAAAGCACAAGCCATATTATTTTGTGTTTGTATTTGTGTGTGTGTGTGCGCGTATGTGCGTGCACACAGACACACATGTAAGTAAGTGTGCATGAATGGAGAAAAAGTGAAAGAGAGAATTACAGTTCGAACTAAATCTGCTGCAGCTCTAGGTTGTTCCAAATGCAATCTTAAAAATATGTTTATGTGACTGATAAATAATGTAACAGCAATAACTTAGTAATTAAAAAACGGAGTGTAATTGCTATGAAAGCCATTTTTTGCCACTCCACTCTCAATTCCAACAGCGTTACTTCCAGAAGTTTTTTCCCCCTGTTCTTCATATTTTGGGATTATTCTGACACATAAAAGGATTCTTTTTATGTGTTATTGATATAATAATTCAGATTTTAGAAAAAACTAATGTGGTGAATTATTTTGCTGTTAACACACATATGCCAGTAAGAAATATTATTAATTGCTGTTGTTTATTAATATTTAACTGTGTCTCCTTCCACTTGTCCTCAGGCTGTTGAAATCCTTTTCAGTGCTCTAAATCAGAACCTGGTTCAATTTGAGTTGAAGCCCAATGTGGAAATAATTGTTTACGTCACTCAATTAACATTAGGTAAGTTGGCAGAGGAAAAAAGATCTAGGGAACACAATATAATATATTATGAATAGCTTATATTTTTCTGGAAAGAAAATAAACACTAAAGAAAGTTATCATATTGATCCTGGGCATTGTTCTTGGACAAATTGGTACTGAACTTTTAACAAACTTTCAGGAAAGTTTGTTAGGTATTCTGGAAGATGTCCAAATACCTCTTAATGGCACTAGGTGGGTGAAATCCAATCTAAGTAGGATTCATTTAAATATGTTTCAGTTGAAAGAAAATGAAAAGGGAGGTGCTTGAGAAATCCCTACTCATAAATTTAGGTTTAATTGGGAGATAAAACAATTTAGGTACCCAATTCAAAGAGAGCAAGAGTTGTTTTTGAAAAGGCTTAATCTGGTATTAATTGATGTTCAGTAGGAATGAAATAGTCTGTCTATAAAAACATGACGATGGCACAAACAAGATATTTATTTATCCAGTTCTATGTCCTTCAATTAAAACTCAGCCATACTTTTATTTTTACAACCTAGTACAAAAAGAACAGAAAAAAACTGAAACTTTATTTGGTTTCCCTCCCGTAAGAAGCAATCATGACAAGTAAGAGTTTTTAAAAGGGAAAATATAAAGTTTTCTTAAAGTATATCTATGGTGACTTCATATTAAAATTAAAGTGGTGGGGAATAGGAAATGATTTGTTCTTGGCTGAAATGGCTTTTCAAAACTAAAAGGATAGTTGATAATTGAAAGCAATTCTCTTTCATCAAATTGATGAAAAGTGAGAAAAGAATGAAGGATTTGTTTTCTGCATAGCATTAAAAACTACAGCCAACATTATGATAAATGTCTGAAAAGGGTTGACTTGAGTCTTTTGCAAACACTGTTCCCGATTAGCAGCTGTGTCCAGCATAGTTGTAATATATCAAACGGAGACCACAAAACAGGGAGCAGATACAAAAAGAGCACATGGAGTGAATGAAATGGTTTAGTTACTAGGCAACCTGCTGTTTCTTTTTCATTATGGAGCTACTTGGAACCTTGAGGGTTCCAAGGGAATAGTACTGATTGCTCACCATACCCCTGACTACAGCACACAAACAGAGAGACAAATATAAATTTGCACACACATCTTGCTAATGATAGTAACCTAGCAGCAGCAAAGACACAAGAGTGATACATCCTGCCATCTGTACATTTAACGACTTCATCTTATGTATAATATGATCTTTTTCTATCCCCTCAGCACCTCTTGTTGATACTGGTGCTGGACACAGCAGCTCTGCAATGCTGATGTTGCTCTCAGTGGTCTTTGTCGGCTTGGCTGTTTTTTTAATCTACAAGTTTAAAAGGTATGTTAAGAACTCCTTTCTGCTATGCCCAGAAAATCTGCTAAAAAAAAAAAAAAAAACAATACAAAACACAACACAACACAAAACAAAACAATACAGTTGACTTTCCTATAAATGTATTTAAAAATTCAGGAAAATATGGGAAAGAGAGAATTGGAGATACTTTACTCAAGGGAGGGAAGCAAAGATGAGTTCAAGACATTCATTACAAGTATGGGCATCAGTCTTGTATACCGTGATAATGAATGTATGACTTCACTAATCCTATAAACTTAGGTAACAGTAATGTACACATTCGGAACTAGTTGTTGAAGCCATTATCGGCAGAGCCAATTCTCCTCAGTTCATCAAGTTATGTCTCAATAATGTCTCAATAATGAGTGCCAACACTGTAACTTCAAGGGGACAAGCATTTTTGTAGTTTTTCTTGCACTCTTCAGATACAGTAGTAAAATACTATTTATTATTAATCAATAAAACTGGTTGTGCCTCTGATTAGTACCTGCTGCTCATTTAGTCCTTGGTTACTATTTCATTATTATTACCTCTAATTTTCATATGTAAATCATGGAAATTAGCAATATCAAGTTTAAATGCATAAACTTCTAAATGTACAGGTTTCCATTCAATCGTTTCTATCATCATAGATTTAACAGGTATACAGGTTGCTGAATACCCAGAGTCCAAGAATTAGCACATAAAATATAAGTAGCAGAGCCATTTATACAGAGCATAATTATAAATTTGGAAAGACATGGTAAGAGTTGAACTTGTTTTTAACCTCTGGGTCATACTCAGTTGTGTCCATTAGTTAATGGATTGGATTTTCTACTGACATCAAACACTTCTCTCTTCTCAGACTGCTCTGCAAATTAGGAAGATATATTTATATTGAACAAGCAGAAGTCACTTCATATAACATTATATAATTTTTTCAGACTGCTCTTATCTACGTTTTCCTGGTTTTGTAGTGTTGCTCATTTAAAAAACAGTTATAAAATGTTTTCATATAAATATAGTACATTGGGATTTATATACATTTTGATAGAATCAGTGTTATTACTGATTTGTTGTTAACATCACCTATATCTCAATACCCTGCCTACTAAAATGAAAGAAGTTCAATGGAGCTGATTGCTTTTTCCATTGAAATATCTGTCAATATGGAACTGAATTATCTCGGTTCTCAAAACCAGAACAAGTTTTGCTTGCTGAGAGCATGATGGATTGACTGATAGACTGCATTGACTCCAGCATTATCATTTCAGGAAGCAAAATATTTGTTATTTGCCCAAACAAGCTAACAGAGTTTCCCCATGTTGTTTAAGTGATTTTTCAGATGGTGTATTTTAGGAAACTTGTACAATTATAATTCCATAAATGACTACTGTTTCACAATATCAAGAAATCTTAGGGCTTTAACTATAGATAGTAGAAGTATTTGTATATGTGCATACAGATTTTATATCTAATCATCATTGTTTATGAATATTTGGGGAATATATGTAAATTGCAACAGTTCATTCATTGAAGCAAATCAATTATAGCTACATTCTGTGTTTCTTAGGAAAATATGAATTTCATATCTATTTAATCCAATTTTCAGGTATTTTCCAGGATGAAACAATGATATACTTAACACTTCAGTAGGTCACTGAGCCAAAATGCAGAAAACAGACATAATTATCTTTTTTTTTAATGAAAAATGCACTTGCAGAAGGTTATCAAATCTGGCTGGAACTTTACAAGGATCTGCCACATTTGAAATAATGAAGTTATTCATCACAAACCTAACTACATTTTTATTTTTATCATAATGATTCATGCCATCAATAACAGTCTTTACAATGAAGATAATGGGGCGTCACACGGTCTTTCTAGATTGTTTCTATTTAATTATATGATGCAATGATAGTTGCTTATTCATTCATAGTACATGTCTAATGGGTAAAATATTTCATAACTCTTTGCCATTGTTAGTGCTGTCACCAAGAAATGAGAAGGAAGATTAGATTTATTGCCAACTTACAAATAAACTCTAACCCTAAGCCTAGTCAATGAATAGTTGATCAGTAGTTTGATTGCTTAATGCAAATAATTTAGGATGTAATGTTTAGAATGCAGTTATCCATATCAATGCAGTGCTTCTTATTAAAAATATTTCCACTATGCAGACCAGTGTTGCAGAAACTTTTCAGACTGAGAGTTTTCAGACCAAGACTACCAAGAGGTAGTATTTTTGAGTCATGTTCCAAAATATATATAAGGATACAAAAAAGTGGGTGGTAACAGGAGAAAAGTTATATTTTGCCTAATTTTGAACCCAAGTTTCAGAAGATACGTAGTTTTATTTCAGATAACTGTGTATCTTCCAGAAGTTACCATTGCTTGGGCAAGAACTTTTTCTTTCTTTTTATGACTGTATAATTTGGAGTAGAGTCAGGGTGGCTGGCTAGAGCTAAGAATTTACTGGCTGGATTCCCTTCCTGATGCTTACATGGAATTCTCAGCAGATATTTTTATTTTGCACCCTAAGAGAGAAACTTTTGCTACTACCCAGGATTGAACTTTCAATCTTCCGAGTGGAAGGTGAAACCATGCCACTCCTTGGGCAAAGACATTAAAGGCAGAGGATGTATTTGCATTTCAAATTCCCAGAGGTTGTGGGAGGAACTGCTGGCTGCTTGTGAAGGAAGCAGTGGGTGAGTAGAAAAGAGAGAGGCAGTTTGAATTGCTTCCATTGCATTTCAAATTCCCAGAGTTGTGGGAGGAGTTGCTGGCTGCTTGTGAAGGAAGCAGAGGGTGAATAGAAAGGAGAAAGATAGCGGCCCTAATGGCGCACGAATCACATAACTATAAATCAAGAATACCAATAAGACATTTAGGGTAAGTGCGCTTGAGATTGTGGTTTTATTTTATTTCAAAATGACCGGCTTAGTTCAATGTAATACTTGTTTTACGGCTATCTTTCGTAGTACTCTTTTCAAACTTGGATACTGTCTTCTTTGTAAAAAAATTACCAGTCTACATGGACAGATTACCTATCTAGAATCTCTAATCTGTGCTCTCCAAGCAGAAATTAGGTGCCCAAACCAGCCATCTATTGAGCTGCTGTGCTACCAGCCCCAACTACCACAAAGATCCTACAGGAAAAGGGTAGTATGGACAACCGTGGGATCTGGCGGGGTGAGAGCTGTGGACCATAAACACAAAGCTTTTGCTGTGTCCCAGCATAAAAGATACAATGCCCTTGCTGATCTTAATAGGGACACTAAAGTGACAGGTCAAGGTAGTTGTGATAATGATAACTCAAGTAAGCTGGGGATCATGGTCCTAGAGGAAGAATTTACTTTGGAAAGGAGAAAGTGTGAATCAGGTATTACACACCCAGTCACACAAGAAGAGCAAGGCATCCAAAAAGAGAAACCACCTTCTGGTTGGGGACTCAATTGTAAGGGGTGTAAATTTAGGAAAGGTTACTGAGGTTTTGAAAGAGGTCAGGTGTCTACCAGGTGCTACTGACAGCAGATACAGGAAGCGTATTCTTAAGCTAGTCAAGAATGCCAGCAAGGACTGTGATGTTGATGCTATTATACATCTTGGTACAAATGATCTATCCCTGAAGGATGTACTTTCTGTTCAGAAAGACTTCCAGAGCTTGGGGTATGAACTTAGTAATATGGGCTGTAGGCTTATCTTTTCAAAGGTTCTACCAGTATACAAGGAACAAAAAGGGAAAGGGCAGCGTATAGCAGAATTTAATGTGTAGCTAAAGGAGTGGTGTAAAAGGGAAGGCTTTGGTTTTATTAGTCATGATGTCTGCAGCTGGTCTAATGAAAAACTGTACAAAAGAGATGGTTTGCATCCATCAAAGAAAGGGACTGAGTTACTTGGCATTAAATTCACAGATTTCCTGGATAAACATTTAAACTGAACAGCGGGGACAGAGAATTAATGGATTCAGAACATTTCTGACCCCAGCAACCTAAAACTAATAAGGATACCAGTGCATGCAAAATAGATGTTTGTGCAGGTAAGATTATCAACCTTGATGCCAACCAAAACCAAGCATTTACTAGTGAGTGCCATACTATATGCACTAATCAAACAGGTGGCAAGAAAGTAGGAGCAGGCAGGCACAACACAGGTTATGCAGACAGTAAACACAGTGTCAGACATAAAGATCTCAAGTGCCTATATACAAATGCACAAAGTCTGGAGAACAAACAGGGTGAACTCGAACTACGAATACATGAAGGTAAATGTGATATAGTTGGAATAACAGAAACTTGGTGGGATGAAACCCATGACTGGAACATACTGGTAAAAGGATACAAACTATTTTAAAAAAAAGACCCCATAAAAGAGGAGGTGGAGTTGCACTGTATGTAAAGGACCACTATATTGCTACAGAAATGCATGAAACCAAAGAAGAAAACCTCCTAGAATGCATATGGGTCAACATAAAAGAAAAAAAGAATGACATGGCCATAGGTGTATATTATAGGCCACCCAATCAAGCAGAAAAAATAGATGTCCTTTTTGCCAGCCAACTAACAAACATATGCAGGAAACACACAACAATAGAAATGGGAGATTTCAATTATCCTGATATCAATTGGAAAACTAATTCTGCACCAAGTGAAAATCAAATAAGTTCCTAACTTATAAGTTCCTAACTCTTAGCTGACAACTTTGTTGTCCAAAAGGTAGAGGGTGAAACTAGAGGGACAGCCATACTGAACTTAATTCTTACAAAGAGAGAAGAAGTGATAGAGGGAGTTGAAACTGCAGGAACCTTGGGAGAGAGTGACCATGTCATACTAGAATTCAACATAACAGAAACACAAGCAACAGAACATAATGACACCAGAGTCTTGGATTTTAAAAGAGCTGATTTCAATAAACTCAGAGAGAACTTGGGAAAGATTCCATGAATGAAAATCCTAAAAGGGAAAACAACTCAAGAATCTTGGGAAACTCTAAAAAGTATGATCATA